TGTTGAAGGAGGGGGGTGGGATTGGGGGCGGGGGAGATGATTGGGGTTAAGAGGGAGGGGTGAGGATGGGATGGAAGTCATGGGATGTTTTGGGACGTGTGCGGTGGATGGAATGATGTTCATGGCTATGAACAAATTAATTAAGCGCCATGCTTGTAAGATGAAAGTGGGACAGAGTACCTAGTGGCAGTGGCAATGGCCGTGGCAGTGGCCGAGGTACTGGTAATGGAGTGCGAGAGGAGGATCGCAGTAGAAAGTAGATAATAAAGCTAGGTAAGGTAGCTGTACAGAAGCATAATATCGTATGGTATAGCAAATCTCCACTCACTCAATCCTTACAGCATCGACCAACTTGCCATCAAGCCACTTCCCCAGCGCCTCCGCATTCCCCAATACCTGAATTTCAGCCTTGACATTCAACATCAGCATAACCCTCAATTCCCTCTTCCATTCCACATCCACATACCCACCACCTTTCTCCAGCATCTTAGCCGCGATCCTCCTATCCCTCTCGGTCAACTTTAACAATCCAACTGCCTCAACCTCTTCATAGCCCCCCATGAAATCACTGCTTCGCACTCCGAGCCATTGGACGGAGGAGACTGCTAGAGTAGCGGATTCGTGAGCGAGTGCGATGGAGCCGTGCTTGTAAGTTGACATGATGCCGATTCCGTCGGGGTCGTGGTCGACGAGACATAGGATGGGGAGTTCGGGAAAGGACGTGTAGAGCAGGCGGAGGAATTGGCGGGTTTGGACGTCGGGGTAGCCTTTTGCCTTGGATACATACGGGTTAGGAGAGTGCAATAGGACAATTGAAAGTAGATACAGTCGACTCACCGTGATCAGTATCCCCTTTCCTGCTAGTGAGTCTTTCCAGTACTGGTTTGATGCAAGTGTGCGGAACGTGGCCTGGTATGGTTAACGGTTTATAATAATTAATAACAAGAGATAAGACAATACAAGGCCGTACTTCTTTCTCGATCACCAAGATCCATCGAACTTCATCAAGATTGATATCCGCGATCTCTTTTACATTCGGAATCAAGACACCCTCGGGCTCAGAAGAGTAGTCAACGACAGATGTGTCCTTCCTAGTGATGGCGAAAGAACCAACCACAAGACCCTTCGCAGCTGCAACCTGAAAGAGAGTGTGAAAATACTATCGCGGACGTAGAAAAATGGCGAATATAGACGTACCACGTTGAGAGCATCTCGAGTAACTCCCAAGGTGTACGCAATATCGTCGACATATCGGTCGACAACAGCTTGTTTGATGAAAAGCTCCGAGTCCCGATAGTACATGTCTCTGTCCGAGTATCAGCAGGACTGTAAGACGGTCGGCGATGCTGCATATCTGATGAGAGGAAGAAATATGGAATTCAAAATCGAAAACAAATTGAAAATGGTGGCAAACGCGGTAGAGGAAAGAACAAGAAGACAGACAAGACAGAAGATAGAGATAAAACCTTTTCGTAGTCACGATGCCAGTAACAAGAGCCTCATGAGAAAGTTCAAGAATCCGGAGTAAAGCAGCTATACCCAATAAATTAGACATCCGTCCAGCTCCAGTAGGTAGGTCATCGGTATCGGTCCAAACCCACTGAATTTCCACACTTCCCGAGGCGACTTGCTGGGAAAAGTGAAGGTCCTAGTGTCAGGCTTTGCCTTCTTTCTAGTCGACGGCGCACTCTCATCATTGCCATCACCATCAGATGTTGCCTCTGTCTTACTCGTCCTCGTCTTCAATTGAATCACAAGCTCGCTCTTCTCGCCCAGAAGGCAATCCGTCATAGCCTCAAAGATGGCTTCAATTTTGGAGATGACGGCGCCGGGTGAGTTCCGAGTAGTTGGACTGGGTCCAGAGGCGGTGGGAGATTTGCCATTGGGCCTGGAAATTGCTGTTTGGGGTGTAAGTGAGCTGTTTGGTAAGTTTGAGAGCAAAGTCTGGGGGAGAGGCGGTTGAGGGTCTGCTAAGTATCCGGAATGGAGATCAAAGTCCATAGCGAGTCATGTGAATAAGCTGTGAAGCATTTCCTGGATCAAACCTCACTTATTCGCAATTTGGTCGAATCTTGTAGAGTTGTTGTTCAAACGTCAGAATCCAAGGTCAGTCTACCTCCTACCTAGTCAGGGCATCTCCGCCTCGGCTCCTCCCGCAAGATCCCTGTCATACCAAGCCAAGCCAACATCTGAGCTTCACTTCACTGAATTCAGCCCCTGCATTTGCTGCCATCGACAGTTCCTACAATCGTACAAGATAATGGAGAAACCCAAAGAAGCTTCAGTCAGCTCTGGCAATAGCTATGAGAATGGCAAGACTGGAGAAAAGAGGTCAATCGACTCGGAAGTCAACGACACTTCGGCTTCAAAAAGACCCAAGCTCCAAGAGCGTACGGATTACACTCGATGGCGCATGTTGGATGAGGCTGGTAGGCACACATGGCACTACCTCGAAGATAAAGAAGACGTTGAAGAATGGCCTCAATCCCTCGCAGACAAATATTTCCTAGGCCTGCCCATGGTATGTTCTCCTTTCAATGATATACATCTCTACTAACTCCTCACAGGATCTCCCCGATCTCCCAACTGCGAAGACACCCCTCGATTCCGTAAAGAATGGCCTCGAATTCTTCCAACACCTCCAACTTCCACCTGGAAACTGGGGCTGCGAATATGGAGGACCAATGTTCCTCATCCCCGGCCTCATTGTAACCTGGTCCGTCACAGAGACACCGATTCCCTCCCATGTCGCTACAGAAATGAAGAATTACCTATTTGCGCGCGCCAATCCCGACGATGGTGGCTGGGGACTACACATTGAAGGAGAGAGTACCGTCTTCGGAACATCCATGAACTATACAGCCCTGCGTCTCCTCGGCGTGAGCGAAGAGGAACCCAGAATGATCAAGGCTAGGGGCACTTTACACAAGATGGGCGGCGCGACGAAAGCTCCTCATTGGGCGAAATTCTGGCTCAGCGTTCTTGGGGTCTGTCAATGGGATATCGTGAACCCTGTACCGCCAGAATTCTGGCTCTTGCCTGATTGGGTCCCCTTTCATCCGTGGAGATGGTGGATTCATATGCGCATGGTATTTTTACCTATGAGTTTTATATGGTCGAAGCGCTGGAGTGGCAAGATCACACCGCTGATTTTACAACTGCGCCAAGAGTTGTTTACGGAGTCGTATGATAAGATCAATTGGGATGCAAATCGAAATACTATTCATGAGAAGGATGATTACCATCCGAAAAGTTGGCTGTTGAAGACGGGGTTCTGGGTTATCTCGAATGTTTACCCGTACTTTAGAGTGGAGTCTTTGAAACAGAAAGCGGAGGACTGGGTATTCAAATTGATTCAGATGGAGGATAAGAATACGGATTTTTCTAATCTTGGACCTGTCAATGGCCCGATGAACTTCCTCGCCTGTTACATTCAGGAAGGTCCAAAGGCTTATTCTGTACAACGACATCGAGAACGAATGGCGGATTTCTTATGGGTCAAAGAAGAAGGCATGTTAATGAACGGCACCAATGGAGTTCAATGCTGGGACACAGCGTTCTTGATTCAGTCAGTGATGGATGCTGATATGGCGGAGGATCCAAAATGGAAGCCGATGTTAACCAAAGCTTTGGAGTTCCTTGATGATCAGCAAATTCGAGAGAACGTTGACGATCAAGCCATCTGTTACAGACAGCAGCGAAAGGGGGCCTGGGGTTTTAGCAACAAGGACCAAGGTTATGCAGTCAGTGATTGTATTTCGGAAGCACTTAAGGCGGTACTTGTTTTACAGAGGACTCCTGGATACCCAACCCTTCTCGAAGACCAGAGAATCTTCGATGCCATCGATACCCTGCTCACATATCAGAACAAATCCGGCGGATGCGCATCCTACGAACCAACACGAGGCTCCGATAAATTGGAAATACTGAATGCTGCTGAGGTCTTCGGTCGGATCATGATCGAATATGATTACCCAGAGTGTACAACAGCAGTCGTCACAGCACTTTCTCTCTTCACCAAATATTATCCAGAATACAGAGCTGCAGATATCAAATCTTTCAAGGAACGAGCAATTCGCTACATCCGACGCGCACAATATCCTGATGGCAGCTGGTACGGAAGTTGGGGAATCTGCTTCACCTATGCTGGAATGTTTGCCCTCGAGAGTCTTGCTAGTATTGGCGAGACGTATGAGAATAGCGAGCATGTCCGCAAAGGTTGCGAGTTCCTCATCTCCAAGCAACGAGATGACGGAGGATGGTCAGAGAGCTATCGCGTAAGTCTAACATAATTTCTACCTTGTAACAACTAACAGAGAATAGTCCTGTGAACGAGGAATATACACCGAACATCCAAGCGGGTCCCAAGTCGTCATGACAGCTTGGTCCTGCATTGCCCTACTCGAAGCCCATTATCCGGATCGTGTTCCGATTGAAAAAGCACTAAAGCTCATTATGAGTAGGCAGCAGCCTAATGGTGAGTGGTTGCAGGAGGCGATTGAGGGGGTTTTCAATAAGAGTTGCATGATTTCGTACCCAAATTACAAGTTCATATTCCCGATGAAGGCGTTGGGTATGTTTGCGAAACGATATGGGGATATTGCGCTTCCGTAATATGTGAAGGGCGAGAAGGGGTAGTAATAAGATGCTGAAAAAGGGACATTCTCGAAATATGTTCATAATATCAAGGAAAATTACAAATGCCGTTTCGTATTAAACGTTACCCAATTCACATAAAAATGACTTCGATCCACTCTCCTAGCCTAAGGTACCAAGGTAGCTGAAACCCCTCCCCTCACATGGGTTTGTAGCTCCAAAGGCGGTGAGTGGCAGAATTCAAGACGAGGCTGAGCCTTTCTCGCATCAACTTGCTACTTCTCTTCCTTTCGACAAACAAAAGCATTCAACATACAAATACTTTCTCGCCACCCCAACACCTCTACACATCACACAACACTGAAGCATCCCACCTACCATGACCACCGCAGCGAACAATGGCCAAAAGGCTCTTGATTCCAAGGACTACCCCGCCGCAATTGCCCATTACACCCGCGCCATCAACTCCACCGTATCTAGCCCCATCTCTCCCCTCTGGCTAATACAGCGTTCCACTGCCTACCAACGCACCGGTGCCTATGCCCGAGCCCTCAAAGATGCCGAGCACGCACATCAATCGGCCACCGCTCGCGGTCGTAAGGAACTCATCGCAACCGCGCACTTCCGCCGCGCAGTTGCATACTATGGCTTGGGCGAGTATGGAAATGCACGCATGTGCTTGATCTGGACGCGCCAGTTCAATGAGAACGAACGCGGGTTAGGCATGTGGCAGGCCAAAGTTACGGCGGATTGGGAGAGGGCGGGCGGGGAGGCGGCGGAGTGTAATAAGGTTACTGCTGTGGAGAAGCCAGTGTACACGGAGAGTGAAGATATTGATGGGATTAAACAGCAGACTGGGAAGGAAGAGAACAAGTCTAAAGGGAGCGGAAAGGGAAAGGAGGCGGTTAGGGAGGAGTCCGGTGCTGCTGTGGCGAAGCCTGTTGCTGCTGCAGTGAAGCCGGCGACTACAGCGTATGATAATATTCGTGTCGAGTGGTATCAGACTGGTACGAGTGTCACGATTGAGATTCTCTGCAAGGGGATTCCGAAGGAACGTACTACGGTAAAGTTTGAGGAGGGTCAGGTACGCATTTGAACTTCTGTTCTCTCTCAGTTCTGGGCTAACGATGGTTAAACCAGCTCCTAGTCAAGTTCCCAGTCGAAGCATCAAACTGCGATTATGAATACAACGCCACCCCACTCCACCAAAAGATCGACGCTGAAAAGAGCACCTTCAGAATCACGCCCCATAAGCTGGAGATTACTCTTGTAAAGCAGGACCAAGGCCGCAAATGGTCCGAGATATATCCCGCTCCTGAAGACACCCAACCCGAAGAACCCCTCGTCTGGACCAAAGCACAGTTAAAAGAGTTGGCCCTTAAGGCAGAAGAAAACTCCGCTGCCAACCCCCTCACTCCCGCTGAAGAAGAGGCCCTCCGCGCCCACTATGGCGTCAAACCCGGTGAGCCCCTTCCCCGTCCACGACACCCCTTTCATCCCGGCGTGGACTGGGACAAAGTCGTCACAAAATCAGAGGATGATGATGAGGACCTCGATCCAATGCAGAGTTTCTTCCAGAAGATCTACAAGAACGCGACCCCCGATTCGCAACGTGCAATGTTGAAGAGTTACCAGGAGAGTAATGGCACGTCGCTTAATACGGTTTGGGATGATGTGAAGGATGCGCCGGTCGAGACGCACCCGCCGAACGGAATGGTGGCTAAGAAGTGGTAGTGAGTTGGGTTAAGTGGAATTGGGCGTGTAGATAGAGATAGCAGCGAGGTGCAAGTGGAACTGGAGTTTATGTTGGCGTTGTAGGAAAACCATTGCTGGTGGGGAGTTGATCATTCTTGCATTGCGGATCATTTGAGCGTATTCCCATAAACATGTATCTTTTAGTCCCCTTTGCTTTGCAGACTGGCAATACCTAGATATTATGATTCCCCATTGCACAAAATGTCTAGGGAATCGACTCGATCCAGTCCAGTCCATCACCGACACATAAACCACTGATTTCCTCTGCAGGTCGTGATGGTGTGTTTGATTAATGTATGGAGTAGAAAGGGTAAGCTGTCGTTTGTATGTATGTATGTATGTATTTATTTATATTGGTTTCTTAAGTGGCGGGATGTCGGGGGATTGATTGATCAAATCAATCGGGTTGCGTTTTTGAAATGAAAAAGGGGGACGGACGGTCAGAAATCTTTTGCTCCGGCACCCCGTACTTCTGCGTTATGCTACGACTAAACCTCTAGAATTCCTGGTCTTGCGACTCTCGTCGCGTTTACTTTCGATATTTTGCCGAGGATTTACTACAGTACTATGAGACTTGTTACCTTGGAATTTCACAGATCAGAAGAAGAGGGTAAGCTACTGTTTTACTTTAGTACTGTACGATACATTCTGGAACCCCTTTGTTGCTCGCTTAATTGTTTCGGGTGCTAGCTAGAGTTTCGGCCGATCAAGCCTTGAACTGGTGCTGAGCAACTGCCCCTGAATCCGTATTCGCAGGATTAGTTCCTTTGTTGTATCTAAGAGCTTACTCAATATATAGCCATTCTAAATGCATTGTATTGCCCCTTTCGGCAACTTCAAAACCTGGTGATAGCACTCAGTCTGCCTGCTTCAAGACACTCTATAGGCCACCTTTTCCCTGCAGAAACGTGGTGTTACTATTCTCACAGTATCGAAGGTCTTTTTGACAACTGCCGATGGTCTTCGGACCGTATCCACCATTTCATTCGCTCTGCGCTTCTCATCCATTGGTTCGACCCGGAGCGTCGGCCTGTGGTAACAGTTAATTAGCCGAGCCTTTTTTCTAAGCCACCCTGCTTTTTGCCGATGGAGCGCACCTTGAATCGTTTCTGCTTATTTCCGCCTCTCTCCAGTATGTGTTGATACGCATTCCTTGCTGTTGTTTCCATTTTTAACATTTTGTGCTCAACCGCCATCAAAGCTCGTTGTTGGAGCTCTGGCACCCCAATCAAGCTGGTGGAAGTGCCAGCTCTCAAGGCCAAGCTCCGATCTCTTGAACTGGGGCCTGGTTCAATTCCAGGTTCAGCTTCAGCTGAGGGTAGCAATTGCTGCAATGAGGAGCTCGCGGATGCCGAACGATTGATGTGATGCTGACGAAACTGGCGAGTGTTCGAGCGATGCCCAAGAATCTTCCCCGATGGCAAACGAAGCTCGTCTTCGTCAGGAACCAAAGTCACTTCTGGCTCGCGCTCCTCGCCATTTTCATCATCATCGCCACAAAAATCGTAGAACTGCTTCAAATCATGCTCATCGTCATCGAAATCTACTTTGCAATGGCCTTTCGCACGCATGTGATCTTGAACTGCGAATTTGGAGGTTTTCGAACTCCCGCAAAATAGACACTCGTGAAACACTGATATGACAACTGAAAGGTAGCCGAGGAGCGACTCCAGGTCGATGAGGTATTCGATATCGGGGATGAAGAAGCTGTGTGCCTGAGACATATGCATCATATTGGAATCCAAGGCCACGGACTTAACGTTGCAAAACAAACACTCCATTGGGTTGAGACTTTCTTCTTCCGCCTCTTGATTGTTCAACGAGAGGTCATTCAGTAGAGGGAGCTCGTCAGACACAACCGGCGCTATTGAATTAAATGCAGCGGATTTCTCAATATGGTTTCGGGATTTCAGATGCGCCTGCCACGTTTTCCGGTTTGTGTAGTGTTTCTCGCAAGCAACACACGACTGCTCAAACGATGGAGATGCCTCCGTGTCATCGTTCTTGGCATCTAAAGTTTGTACTTGTCGTTCAAATACAATTGCTGAAATAGGAGGCAGTGAGGCGATATGGCGTTTGAGGTTGTAGACGCTATTTGTATCAACAATTCTGATTACATTGTTCTCCGCAAATGATACCTACTGCCAACCCTCTCGCATGTGTGCTCTTTTCGTCTCTTTGTTGTCGAAGCTCGCAAGGCACGTGGTGCAAGTATGCTCAGCTCCCGTGACACCCGTGCTAGTTGCCGATGTCCCGTCCATGTTTAATACGATAGAACTCTGGATGAGGGATGTGAAAGTTGCTCCAGTAGAACTATGCTCCTGCGGTATGAATGGAAAGAGATTGGGTTGGCCTGTTATGTTCGAGATGGGTGAAGCGAATTTGAGAAGGGAACAAAGGAAAGAAAGGAATACTTGTACTTGTATTTGGAAGTTTTCCTCCTCCTTACTATTGCTACCCGTACCTTCCTCATTCGCTCGAGCGTTGAGTCGAAAACAGAAAATGATGCTCCTCGACTCATCGCAGGTCGTGACTCACCCTCACAAATGAGGCCGCTAAACAAATACTTCGAAGTAATTGAGCTGCACTGCACTCCGCCACAACGGATGTTGATTCCATAGGTAGGTAGCTATCGCATCCACAGAGGTACTGTATAACAATTCACCAGATCGTTCCTGGGAACTGACCCACACGATTGTTGGTCACATTGCACTGCATTGATATCATTATTATTGGGTGCACACAATTTGCGAAGTGACAAGAAATCCCGAGCCCGAAGCTTAAAACACCACACTCCACGCCAATCAGTCACGTGCACTTACCCCTATCTATTCTCCTTCAGGATTCACAGCAACTTGACTTGAAACATCTACAGATTCCTCCAAAATTGCAACTCCACAGGTCTCACGACTCAAACGATCGAAGGGCATCAAGGAAAGGACGAGAAGATAATCACAGCACCATGCCTATCCGCTTGGAAGACAGTCAAGAACTCCTGTCCCATGGCGGAGAAGTCGTCGTTAGCGGCGCTAGGATGATGTGGGAAGGATTTGCGGATTTTGCGCTGCAAGACAATGTGATAGAGGTTGCCGTGGGCTTAATGTAAGCTATCCCATATATTCCCCCTCCTTGTTTGCTCTTTATCCCCTCTTTCCCTAATATGCGACATCTCGCTTCAGTTTCTCCCACTTGCAGCCCCTTTTGTAACATCATCCCGTGACATAGCATCGCAGCTGCCTTCACAACGGTCGTGACTTCCTTCGTCTCAGAGATTCTCCTCCCGCCACTATCGCTTCTCCCGTTTGTGCATCGGAACCTGGATGAGAAATTCGCGGTCCTGAGGAGGGGCCCGATGTACAATCAGACTGATGGCCATGGCTACAACACGCTTGACCAAGCAACGAGTGACGGAGCTGTAGTAATGGCATACGGGTAAAGTTACACTATCACGACTTCACCGGAATTGACTAATTGTTCAATACAGAGCTTTCGTCAACAAACTCATCAACTTCCTCGGCGTCGGCTTGGCTTTGTATCTCGTCGCGGCCCTGTACGACTTGTCCGGGACGAAAAGTGATCCGATCATTAAGCACATGGTCAAGTGCAAGTATTGTCGCAAGAAGATTAGCTCAAGGGTATGGCCGTTTTCATTCATGCTTTCCCAATACCTCTGCGGTTTCGGCGTTGTTTAGTCTTGGTCGTTGGGATTGATGTGCTAACCATGCGTATAGGCGCAACGTTGCATTAATTGTACCAGTTGGCAAGATGGACGAGAGGATAAGCCACACGAGCGGCCAGGTCCCCACCCTCTGATTGGCGATCATTGAGACTGGAGTAGAGTCGAGCCCCATTACTCGTCATTGTCGTTTTGCATAAGTGCTTAGTGATGCTGCGCATTTAGAGGTTGCATTGTTTTTCAAGATACCAGATGTCCGACCTTTCGAGGTTTTTTTCTTCGCTGCACTTGCTGTGTTTTCCCCCGTGTTTATATATCGAGTTGATATACCTTGTGTAATTCTTAAAGCATTGCTGCATAAATACCATTGCTAGAGGTAGAAGATATTATAGATAGCTTTATAGAATCTGAAATCAATATCGCGGCTGCACGCGTAGAAAGAGAAAAGGTTGAAATTCGAAATGCAATTTATTCTTATGTGACAACAGATAGCACTCCAACGCTAAAGTCCCCCTTCAGTAACGACGGACGAATCACCGACTACAAACATATTCCAACATCCCAGACAATCCTCATCCAGTGGAATATTAGACTAGGCGAAGGAATACGAACCAAAGTTGAAAATATTTTTAGAAGCACTCAAAGAGAGAGAGAACTCAATGATCAGTACAGGGCAACTGAGAGGACGAGCGACTATCAGTGCGAATGCAGGAGAGCTGAGAGACAGGGGATTTTTTGGTAGCCTATGCCGCACGGAAGTGCTGGGCCTTCGATGTGGTTTTCTGGCTGATTATAAACCCAAATCCTAGGTTCTTCGCAAAACCCGGGTAGGAAGAGGCGCTGAAGCTGCTCTCTCAAGAAGAGAGATGGTATGGAAGAGTTTGTACAAAGAAACTTGAAGGAGATGGAAGAACATACGTTAGTTGATTGGGAGGACACGTTGGAGAGCTAATGTTGCCACGTAAAGCCGAATCGGCAGCTTACCCCTTAAAATCCAAGCGAGTTCACCCCTTCTAAAACATGCGCCAGTCACTAGTATGAGGCCTTTTATGGGCCACTCCCAACGACCACCACCTCCTCCAACGGAGCTATCTAGTCTATCCGTGTTGCCAGTACGCAGACAGTAAGCTGTAATAAAGTGTCGAAAAATCCTAAAACTTGATTTTCTTTAGTTCTTGGCTGGTATAATATACTTCTGTCGACATAACATTCAAGCTACTTTGTCAAACGAAGAACATAATACCTAGTAGTACAGATAACAAAGTTTAAGAGTCTTGTTATGTGAAATTGTATTATCAGTTTCAATTATGTTTTGGATTTTACCAGGAATGACTCTTCATAGCGACCTATGGCGGTTCGCCTTTTTGCTTCGACCCTACCAAACCCTGCAGCTCTTGATCTCAGCCTCTTCTACTTGTGATACCTCAACGCCGCGAGAATACCCAAATCAGGTAGCCATCACCCACTGCCGTCCCTTTGCTCTTCTGGTTGTCTCAAAACAAACCCACCCATGAGCTTGTCGCAATCAACCTACAGTCTAAGCTTTTACTTTTCGTCTCATCGATACTTAATCTCTGTAAACCTTACTTGCAATGGTGCTCGAGGCTTTGACAGCCTTGTCGTTAGCTGCCACGATTGTTCAGTTCGTCGACTTTAGCAGCAAACTCCTTGCCAAGGGGCACGAAATCTATGTTTCGGTAGACGGCGCATCAATAGAAAACAATGATCTAGAAGCGGCTACGAAGAACCTACGCGATTTGAGCGGGAGACTTAATGTGTCTGCAGTGTCGCGACGAGGCGACACAGTAGAGGCAACCTCAGAACCCGAGGTCGAATTGATCCAATTGACCACGAAATGCTCAGCGGTAGCCAGGGAGTTGCTGACACTCCTCGATCACTTGAAAGTACAGCCGGGTTCCAATCGAAAATGGAAGACGTTTCAGCAGGCTCTCAAGAGCTCTCTCAAGCAAAGCCAAGTAGATGAAATCAAATCACGTTTGCAGGCTATACGCCAGGAACTTAGTCTCAGTGTGTTGGTCTCTCTAAGGTAAGTTTGTTCCTAAAGGTTTTATGTTTACACAATTATTCCAAACATTATCCGCTAACGTTCCTAACAGAGAAAGCATCGACCTACAGGCTATTAGATCCAACGCCGGGTTTTTGAGCTTAGAAAGCAGCACAAGAGCGCTAGCAGACCAATTGATACGAGAGCAGCAAAAAGCCCTGTCTGATCATACGAATTTCTTGAGACACGATCAAGATAAAGCGACCCGAATCGTTGAAGCTCAACATCACCAGACTAGGAAGGAGATCATAGCAATTATTCACAATGAATGGGCGGGAGTACCATCTAGACGGATAGGAGGAATCAGTGGAGACGATGGCGATGACGAAAACCCCACGAAGCGCCAATTGGTCTCTAATCTCATTTTGGAGAGTCTCCGATTCCAAACCATGGATGATAGATGCGAGGAAATTGAATCAGCACATAAGAGAACTTTCGGGTGGATTTTTGAGGGCACAAGCCAAGAAAGGATGTGGGCCAACTTTCCGAAATGGCTTTCGACTGGAACAGGGATATACTGGATGAACGGAAAGGCAGCTTCTGGAAAGTCGACCCTTATGAAATATGTTTCCAGTGACACTCGAACAAAAGACCTTCTCAGGCATTGGGCTGGAGAACAGCGACTTATCCAAGCAGCCCATTACTTTTGGAACAGCGGAACGGCTGAGCAACGCTCACATGCCGGCCTACTTCGTGCGCTCTTATTCAAAGCACTGCGGCAGTGTGAGTCCCTGCTACCCGATATTTTCCCAGAGATTTGGATTGATAAGATGAGCAAACCGCTGTTCATAATCGAAGATATGGAGCGCATATCCTGGACATTACCAAGGCTTTCTGAAGCTTTCGATCGTTTAGTGTGCACCCAGAGTAATGGACTAAAATTCTGCTTATTTGTTGACGGGCTTGATGAATATGAGGGCGATTATTTTGACGTCATTAAAACTTTCACAAAGATATCGCAATCATCGAGCGTGAAAGTTTGCCTTTCGAGTCGACCACTTTTCGATTTTGTGGCCGCCTTTCAGAGTTGCCAGAGCCTACGTCTTCAAGACCTTACTTTTTCTGATATCGAGTCCTATATTAATGATGAGCTTGGGACCAATACGCACATGCAAATCCTTCGAGAACAAAAGCCTCAGGAGGCAGAGATGCTCGTCTTCGAGATTGTGAACAAAGCCGACGGCGTCTTTCTCTGGGTGAAACTGGTTGTTCTGTCAATGCTTCGTGGATTGAGGCAATCAGATGGAATACACGATCTTCAACTGAGACTGAGACTCTTACCGCCATCACTCGAGGACTTATTTAGCCATATACTTCGCCGTCTGGAGCCGGTTTATCTTGAGCAATCTTCGAGAATCTTCCAGATATTCGCTGAAGCTCAAAACAGTGATAGGTCATTGACAAGTCTTGAGCTTTCATTTGCTGAAGAGCTAGATTTCCGCGCCGTTATTAGGGAGCCGACCCGTCAACTTTGGATGGAAGAGCTCCTCGAGCGCGAGGCTCAAATTGAAACTTGGCTTCGAACGAGATGTGGAGGTTTGATTGAAACGTGTAGTGGTGTGAACGCTTATGGAAGTTTCACCGATGCGAGGTTATCGTACCTACATCGGACCGTCCGTGACTTCCTAGAACTTCCGGAAATTTGGAGAATTGTGCTGAGGCCAACTTCTGGCAAAAGATTTGCTCCAAGAGTCGCCTTGGTGCAAGCTCAAATGCTCTACATCAAACGGGTGCTGCCTTTTCCGACGGATTTGATAGATCGGATTTCCGATCTTCAACATGTTGGAAAACGTGCTATAGCCTTCGCACAGAATGAAGAAACGGCTACGATAGAGCCACAGGTAATGATGTTGGACGAGCTTGATCGAGTGTGCAACAATCACGTTGAAGACTTCTCAGAGCTTCCATGCAATTGGACTACGTCATCTAATAGAATGAGCTCTGGTAAAGATGCTCACGTGCACCAGAACTCCTTTCTTACTTTAGCTATCAAAACCGGACTCTATGTTTACGTCGAGGAGAAGCTCAAGCTGAAACCCTGGCTGGTCAAGAGGGCTGGCCGGCCTTTGTTGCAATACGCCGTTTCTTCTGAGAATGACCTATGCATGCGCGACTTGAGAGTCAATACTGGCATGGTTGAGCTACTCCTACGCTGTGGAGCTCGAGTCGATGAGGTATATCAAAGAACCACAGCATGGGATCTTGTTCTAGAGTCCCTTTGGCTCCTTCTCTGCAACAGAGAACCGGAGAGTACTGTGGCGATGTGGCTTTCAGTTGTTAAGTTGTTTCTTGAGCATGGTGCAGACCCATCCCATGCATTGGGAATGACCCATCAAAGTTGGCATATTCTCTGGTCAATGCCCTCTGTGACACTCCTCATGAAGTAAAAGCACTACTGGTATCACCTGGAATATTGGCTGAACGAGCACAAAAAGTAAGTCGAACACAGCACACTTTTGCGCACTCGCGGAAAAAAGATTCAACCGATGTGACGAGAACGCCTATCAACCCTTTTCAACGAATACCGAAAACGGAGGAACTGACTTTACAATCACTTGAAGTGAAGGGTCAAGCGGTGCAAAATATAGCCAACTTTGATGGTTCCTCCAGGGCCAATGGAACCGAAAAAGGAGCCGATATCCTTGGAGACTCAGAAGACATTGCAGTAATTGAAGCAACGTCCGACTCTAAGAGTCGGTGGAAATCTCCAGGCTGTGAACTGATTAAAAAAACAACCGATTCTATTACTCAGTATCAACAGCAAGGTCTTGTGCAGAGCCAACGGCAAAAAATGTCTTTAGTACCTCAACATGGTATTGTCTCCACTATCGCCACGGATCAAACCGGTGGCTCGGGGTCTTCCAAGTTGGTATTCAGTCAACATATATCTACACAATTGCGAACACCTGTTCCTCCTAAAACGTCCGTCATCACGAAGACATGCTCCGACTTACAAGACTCCCGTGTTCTTGTACCTATACCAAGTCAACAGCTGCTTGAAATTGGTCAGTCATCTTCAGATCCATTCTGCCCTTCTGCTCAAGCTGCAGGATTTATACAATGTGGAGGGGATCAATCAAAACTCGAAGCTCGCAGCCTCAATTCATTGTCATTCAACCGAAATATTTCAAGTCAGACTTACGACAGTACCCAGAATGAGTATTCGCCATATTCAAGACCACTATCTCAACGTCCAAGTCACCATCCCCCCTACTACACTCAAAACGGTCGAGAATCATTGACTCCACGTCGACCTCTAACGCCCCATTCAAACCCATTGCCAGCACCTCAATTGGCCCAACCAATTCCAAGTCCCATTTCCCGTACTCGTCAACAAAACCTTGTAGTATATAAGGATAGCACCTATCCACACCTTCCAAATCTACACCAAGAGCCTTCATCCACCCGCGCCTATTCGCCGTTACAGTCCGTCAACAGAGAACTCCGCAACGAGTACGCCAGGGAACTTCATGACCTGGAATATCCGCGCCTGGAATATCCGTGCCTAGAACATCCGCACCAAGAATATCCACACATCACCATCTCCGACACATCCCAGTCTATAGCTACACTATTGTCTCCGCACTCCCAAAATGGCAACCCGCTATTCTTTTGAGCGAAACATATAAGTAAAATACCTACCACGCAGTTACAGCGTATCAGAACTCCTATGCCGTCCATAGGTAGAGGAGAGCAAGAAGGTTCCCACCGCCATAATCCCAGGAGTTTATCCTCAAATTTGCTTTCGTTTATTACCTAACCTGATTCTAATAGGCGTACGCCAGCTAGAATTCTAATATTTCAAGGATTAAGCAGGGGTGGGTAGAGCTTTCCAGGCCAGCTTAGCTATGAAGGGTCAAATCTATAAAATACTAAAAGTTATAGAAGTTGATAGCAAATTGAGTCAAGGTTGAGATGGCTATAGGAGGTCAGATGGATTCATTTACAATTGCGGCTAAGCAAAGAAAATCTCACGATCTATATTAGGCGTTTGGATATCAGACACCTTTCAGTCAGTTCTCTAGGTCATTTAGGAGTTCCAACCCTCGCATATATCCAGGTGTTAAGTTCACATTTATGGTGTACAAGGTTTTTGTTTCATAAAAGGATTGGATTGCTTTTTTGTTGAAGTCAAGCAACATAGTTTCGTGCAATTTCGTGCATTCTCATTCCATCATAGCAAGTCCATAAATCCACTTCACATTAAGAGGATCAAAGACGAGCTTTTCCCTGAGGCGAGGAGGAGGCTAAATCAAATCGATCAAGGCTCATGACCTTGTCCCAAGCAGCCACAAAGTCCTTCGCAAACTTCTCCTGTGCGTCCGCGCTGCCGTAAACTTCAGACAGAGCGCGCAACTCGGCGTGAGAGCCGAACACGAGATCGGCGCGGGTGGCGGTCCACTTCTTTTCACCAGTCTTGCGGTCGGTACCCTCGTAGGTTTCGTTGTCGGTTGTCTTCCATGCGGTATTTGGGTCTAATAGGTTAACGAAGAAGTCGTTGGTGAGCTTACCGGGACGCTTGGTGAGAATTCCATAGGAAGATCCATCGTAGTTGGCGTTAAGAGCACGCAGACCGCCGACCAGGACCGTCAATTCAGGAGCAGTAAGTGTAAGTAGGTGCGCACGGTCAACGAGGAATTGTTCGGCGCGAACGCGTGATGTCGACTTGCCATAGTTGCGGAATCCATCGGCATATGGCTCGAGATGCTTGAAAGACTCAGCATCGGTTTGCTCCTGTGTGGCATCCGTGCGGCCTGGTGCGAAAGGGACGGCAACACCCGAAGCCTTCTCCAAGGCGGCGGATCCTGCTAGGACGATGAGATCGGCCAGCGAAACCTTCTTTGAACCAGACTGGAACTTCTTCTGGACACCTTCCAGAGCGCTCAGCACTTCGCTCAGTTGCTTTGGGTTATTGACCTTCCAGTCTTTCTGGGGAGCAAGGCGGATGCGAGCACCATTGGCGCCTCCACGCTTATCACCCCCGCGGAAAGTAGAAGCTGACGCCCAGGCAGTAGAGATGAATTTAGTTGGTGCAACACCAGTTGCCAGGATCTCTTTCTTGAGAGCAGCAACATCGTTGTCATCGATCAGTGGGTGACTAGCAGCTGGAACAGGATCCTCCCAAATTAGTACCTCAGATGGGATTTCCGGACCGAGCCAGCGAGATCGTGGACCCATGTCACGATGCAACAGCTTGAACCAAGCACGGGTGAAAGCGTCCGCAAGCTTATCTGGGTTCTCGAGGAAGTTACGGGAGACCTTCTCGTAAGCTGGGTCGTAGCGCAGCGCAAGATCGCTCGTCAACATGGTCGGCAAGTGCTTCTTGTTAGGATCGAAGGCATCGGGGATGATGGCATCAGCACCCTTGGCCGTCCATTGATTTGCACCAGCAGGACTCTTGGTCAACTCCCATTCATACTTGTAGAGGTATTCGAGATACTTGTTGCTCCACTTCGTAGGTGTACTGGTCCAGATGACTTCCAGACCACTAGTAATAGTGTCGGGTCCTTTCCCAGACTTGAACTTGCTCTCCCAGCCGAGGCCCTGTTTCTCGAGGCCAGCCGCTTGAGGTTCCTTGCCTACATTTTCGGAAGGACCTGCACCGTGTGTCTTACCGAATGAGTGGCCGCCAGCAATCAACGCCACGGTTTCCTCGTCATTCATGGCCATGCGTCCAAAAGTGGTGCCTGAACGTGAGAAACTCATATTAGTATTGGGTATTGTATTGAGCTGGTATAGAATAGGAGCAACTGCAGAAGTGTTCTGAAAGGGGAAATAAATCTCATGTTGCAACTTGCAGTGGAATATTCGACCACTTACGGATATCTCTAGCTGAAGCAACAGGATCAGGCACTCCATCAGGACCCTCAGGGTTCACGTAAATCAGACCCATGTGGGCAGCTGCCAGCGGCTCTTCCAAATCGCGTGAATGGATGTCGCTGTGGTCTTTCTTGTGCTGGTCACCATCAACTACGCCAGATCCCTTCACACCTTCATTGCCCTCCGAATAACGAACGTCGTTACCCAGCCATGTTGTCTCGCCACCCCAATATACAGATTCTTCGGCTTCCCACTGATCGGCACGGCCGCCAGCAAATCCAAAGGTGGGGAGGCCCATAGACTCGATTGCAACATTGCCAGTGAGGAGTAAGAGATCAGCCCAGGAAATCTTGTTGCCGTACTTCTGCTTGATCGGCCATAGCAGGCGGCGAGCCTTGTCGAGAGATACGTTATCGGGCCAGCTATAGATATCAATAGTTAGTGATGATTCAATACAAGAAGTGTGTTTTCGTAGAAATGTTCTAGAGCTTCGGGCAAGCCATTGCCACCCCGGGAAAGTTGACTTGCCTGTTGAGAGGTGCGAATCTCTGTTGGCCACCTCCACCACCACCACGTCCATCACTAGTTCGGTAAGTACCAGCGCTGTGCCATGCCATTCGGATGAAAAGACCACCGTAGTGGCCAAAGTCAGCGGGCCACCACTCTTGTGAGTCGGTCATCAATGCCGTCAGGTCCTTCTTCAAGCCATTGTAGTCGAGGGTCTTGAAGGCAGCTGCATAGTCGAAATCCTTGTACGGGTTGGTAGCAGCTGTGTGCTGGCGGAGAATGTTGAGCTTCAACTCATCAGGCCACCAGTCATTGTTTCGGGTTCCTCCACCTCCAACGTTTGCCTTCTTAATAGGACATTCGCCAGTAGCCATGGTTCGTTGCTGTCGTCGAAGACGTGAGATTGGTACTTGGAAGGAAATATGGATGCTATAGTTGTGATTGTAGTTGTAGTTATACTTGCTGACTCTTGGAGAAAGAAATGGAAAAGGGCGTCGAAACATTTGTCTGCGAGGGGGTGGTGTTACTCGGAGAAGGGAAGGTTGTCGAACAGCTCTACCCCGCTCTCTCTAAATAGACCCCCCATCTATTATTAATCAAGCGCCCCACCAGCCTATGAAACAACGTCTAGACGTCTCAGGATTATAATTCTCGACTTTTGATTGGCTGCCCCACCTCCGCTGCAATGCAATGGAATGTGAGCGCACGGACGGAGTTAACCCGGGCTTCGGTGAATTATACGTAGATTGATATATGTACAGGGTAGTTCTGGTAGTTCGTAATTTTACCCTATTATCGCGTCTTATGTGACGATATGATATGACTATGACCAATATACTTTAGACATATTTCAACTGTCTTGACTTACACCCTTCCAAAACATTATTATCAGTCTTTTGATTTGAATGTGGTGTGCTGTGTATTTCCAAAGGGACAACTCCGGTATTAATTCGGATTATACCCAATTACTCTCCTGGGCTGCAAAGCCTCAACCTCCTCAGCCGGAACAATAATAATGTTTGGCAGAAGAACAAAAGGCCAACATCCGGGCTTTGATTCTATCTTGAGTCCATTCACGACAGTTAGTCCCCTTCCACGTGGGCTGAAAGGAAAATATCTCCGAAAATGGGCATCATATTCCCTAACTAAGAATAATAAGTCTATCTTAGGTTCCTCTATTAGCAACGAGTAAGATCTTAATGCTCAGGAACAAACGACCTCCGCACTGGGCCTGCCAGAAGACTCACCTAAGCTTCTTTTAAAATATAAAGTTTGATTTTGAAGAGCAAAAACCCCCATTGCGAATCAATGTCGGTACCAAAATTGAAAATGCTAGGTTCAATCGTTCAAGGGTTGACACTAACAACTCATAGATCCAGGCTCCACCCGTTTAACTTGACTTTGAAACGGTTCTGTTATAATATCCACCACACCAGCTTCCAGACTTCTTCCTCGCAAGACAAACAAGTTATTATTCCTGGAGGTTGTTGGACTTAGCTGCTTACATAGGCGTCTGTGGGATAAATCTCTTCATCACGCTACTCTGTCCTACTCTGAATACACACAAAATATATGCCCATCACGTCTATACTAGCTGTGACCATTATTATCGTCCTCTCTGTGACCAGCATTGTCCAACCGAGGTGAAGTTTTGATACAGATCACGTGATGACATCCGAGAAGCTTGCTTCCAAGTGATATGTATACTCCATGAATCAATTTAGTAAACTACTTCAAAATACTTCTAAGTACTCCTGAACTCTGGGAAGAACCAGTCGAGGTTTCTCGTGGCCCTCAATGTATGTCTTCATTTGAGAGCAGCGATCTCCGAGCTCTTCGCCACGAATTCCTCAAATGTTTCCAAGGGTTCAGGCAATATCTAATCATCATTAGCGATAGGGTTAATCTTTAGGTGATGGTAATAGCTGCACGTGGATTTGGATTAAACGTACATCATGATCAAGCTTAAGACCCCCGAAATATCCAAACTCATGGATAAACTTCATATTCTCAACCAAGTCTTCCTGAAAGAATTCAGGTACACCAAGAGCAGTCAATCTGTTTTTGAAATCACCTTCAGTGTAGCTTGCAGGCAGTGATATATCGACACCACCGACGTTCTTGAAGATAGACACAATCTCAGATAGCGTATACTCATTTTCGCAGGCTGAGACTTGGCGCCCAAGAAAAGTCTCTCGGTTCAGCAAAATGTGCTTTACATAGGCGCCAGTGTCTTTGTTGACCGAGATCAACGGAATCTTGGTATCAGGAGGAAAAGGAAATGCGAGATTGTAGGACTTGGCACCCTCTGAAGTAGGGATAATATTGGAGGGCAGAAAGTTCATGAAGATTCCGAGGTAGAGGAATGTTGCTGGGATACCCAGGGAACGAACATGTTCCTCGACGACGGCCTTTGAATCGAAGTGAAGTACTTTGGTGTACTTGTTGTTGCTAACTATACGCTTGCTCAGCTGGATCCTGAGCAGAAAGTGTTGAGAAACTACCTACTCTTTGAGACATTAGGCAAGCTACTCCAGATGAGATGTTGAACATTAAATTCCTATGGAGGTTAGTAATTCCACATTAATAGATCGAAAACACAGCTAGCTACCTTGGCGACATCAGCAATGTTATTTCCTTGCTGAGCCTCTCGCTCTTTGTTCATAACTTCTTGCCAATTTGTGACAGCGAAGATTGCGTAGGCACCTTTCACCACCAATCGCAGAGACTCCTTGTCGTCCAGATCAGCCTGCAGATCATGTGTCAGCATGTCGCTCTTCAATAAGTAATATAAGTGTACTGGCCTTGACTAGTTTGACACCTCGTTCTGCAAGAGCAACCGCTGCTGGCTTTGAGACATCTCTAGTAACACCAAAAATTTCAAACTGAGCGGCAGTAGTAGGATCGTTCAAAATCGAATCAATGACAGACCGGCCTTGGTTTCCTGTTGCACCAAAGACAACTAGAATCTTCTTATTAGACATGACAACTGGTTTGATTATGAGACTTGATTGAAGACAGGAGGTTGCTGGAGAATGATATATAGAGTAAGTCTTTGGGAGAACAGTGAGACCTTCATATAAGAGAAAGACAGACCATGGTGTACGTACTTTGATTATACCTTGCAGATGTCGGGTTCCTTACAAATATTGGTTATCAGCTTCATGCTTTTCTCACAAGACCGCCTCGGGATTTTGAATTAATATCTCCGATCAAGCCCCCGGCGGGATTGTTGTGCCACCAAAACGCCACATCCGCTCTAAGCGGGTTGTATGGCGAGTGGGGGTGGAGGAATTGTGAAGCCTAGCGCAGCCATGGGTACGCAGTTGGGTGAGGAGTATTGTTACATAGGTATATTAAGACTAAATCTATAATAGCAAGGAAATGTATGGAAAACACTTTAATAAAGTATCTGGTCCTAATTATTGAGTCGAGATATATACGGTAATGTTTACTTTCATCAAGTAGCAAATTCTATATAAAGGTGAAGAAAATGCCCAGGAAAAGTTTAAGTGCGAGATAAATGAATTATCACGAGAAATCATGACAACTTGGCCAGTCAGATTGAGAAACCCGAAAATACGCTGGGTATGGAAGACTTGGTGACTTGGTGAAAATGCTCCCCAAGAAAATCACCACTTTCAAGGTGAAGCCTTCTAGATGACGACAATTTAGACTACGTCTCCAGGCTCTGAATATAGCGAGGCGAGGAAACACAAATGGTAAGGTGGTAATCAGAAACAGCCGCGACTGCGCAAACCCGTGTATTACGATAGCAAGCCGGGCTTGCCATACATCATGTATGACAAGGGGGGATTCGTCTAGCCATTTTCCTCGGCGGGATTAACGTCAAAGACCGAATGCTCGTACTGTGACTCTGACACTTTAACGAGAGCCTGCATTCCCCTTGAAGCCAATGGATAGTCGCCCGCAAGATCCACGCTTCTTGTGCCTATTTGCCTGATTCAACTCTGTGACATTCAGCGTCATACTACCTGGCGTCGGATATAGGAAGGTAACGAAGCTAACTCCAGCAGGAGTTTACTGTAGATGCGCTTGCATTCCGCTGATGACTCCGTGTCTGGATACGAGAATTATACAAATGACAGCAGTAGCGAGAAGAATCCCTACAGCCACCATAAATGCTAGAATATCAAACAACCAATGGTATCTGATTTTTGAAAGTGTTAGTATGATCGGGAGGGTAACCGCTTTTTAGCTTACCGCATTTCCAGGCCCAACTTGGCGTCACCCGCTAGAATACTTCGCCGATTGCTGGGATTACTCGTAATCCAAATAGAATTCTGGCGTTCGAGCCTGGGCTCATTGAAGCATTGAGGCCGGATCCAGTAACGTGCAAAACCCATGCCGACCAAGACATCTTTTGGAATTGCAGTGTTTTGGAGACCCAGATACCGCTAAAGATGGCTGACAATGCGACTGGAGCGCTATCTAAAAATCGTAAAGTTCGAATACAGAAATTCAGTTGTCCAGTTGGTAAAATATGTTAGAATTCGACCGGATAGATCAGTTATCAGAGCTTGACAAGCGAAAGGGAAAGGGAAAAGGAAAGGGGATGTAGATGCTTGCAGCTCAAACATTCGGACCTATCAGTAATCATCAAGCTACGATGCTTGTTCAAACCTCAGAATTCGCAACTCAGGTGGGGAAATGATATACCGCGCTCAATAATCCATAGATCTGACCATCTCTACCCCAAAATAGAGACATAGAGCACCTCAGATACACGTGCTGCGTTTGATGATAAGTATCCTTTGAGCTCGCGAAACAAGAGCCTCAAATTCTAATAGCCTCTAGAATGGTCATAGTTCTGACATCGGCTGTTCATTCATGAGCTTAACCATCAACAACCTCAAGGTTCCATCAGAATTCATCAGTTGCGCCTCGGGGCTAACAAAATCATCTGCAACCTTTGCCATGCAGCCAAAGAAAGCGTATTCGAAAATCCAAGGACACTGGTCCATCCAATTTGCCACTTGAGCAGTAAATGCAAAAACTTCTTTCTTGTCTCTTGAGATGGCAGCTATCTCAGAAACAACAACTTGGTACCCTGGATACTTTTGGTGCCTATTCATTTATATTAATATTTGAGAGTTGTAGGGATATGGAGATCTTACATCTTCTCTAGGTACTGAATTGCTGCAGCACCATCTGGACCATAATAGTGCAGGCCGAGAAAATCAGGTGGCTCCCCTTGTTCTTGGACCCTTCGCATAAAGTCATCCAGCCATGCTTCTCCAGCAGGATCACTTGCACAACCCGGACCAACGATCTTCTTCCCTTTAGTGCTTCTCAAGGGGACCATCTTTTCCTTCCACATTTCCGCAGCCAACTTTGCTGAGATTCCGGCTCGTTCTGGCTCGTTGAAGAAGTGGATAATGGCATGGTCATTATTCGCTATCATAGACCATTCATTGCTATCCGTGAGCTGTTCCATTCCACGGACAGTAGGTCGAAAGGGGAGTCGATCTTTAAGCTCAGGAGGGGCCCAAGCATTCCAATTGGCAACTGAACATATTTGTCCTCTGAGATTGACATTCTCAATAGAAGCCGGAATATTAGCAGTATTGGTCCAGTCCCAGAGGAGACATCGTTTCCTAATTAACATTGTAATTTGTGACGCGTGGGACGTGTTTACTAGTCCTAGTCTGACGGAGATACACAGGAACGTAAATAAAAGTCTGGGATAATATACTTGTACTGAACGGTACTATAATGTATTTATTGGATACTGTATAATTTGATCCTGGGTTGGTGTTGGGTTGGGCGAGGCCTTCGATCAGCGACTGGGACCTCTGAAATACAGGTTCTGGTGGTATACATGTGAAGCAAAATTTGAGTGACGTCTGGTCACTGTACGTTCGGAGGGCCGGCGCGTTTCTCGGTTGTCAACACCTCCTCTCCAAGACTGATCCTTCGAGATGCCTCCGAAAAACGAGAAAAACGAATATAACACTCTCCCCGATGGCCTCTCTCGCTTTACCGCAGATCAGTTTAACCTGGGAGCACCTAACTCAGGTGCGCAGAATGTCTCCATCGCGTACGACGTATCCTCTTCCGGTGGTGGGCGCAAACCGGGAATAGATTCTCTCAGCGGCCTACGTGCTCTCCCCGAGCTGAGACCGGTACCATGGGTCAATGGAAAGGAATTGCCTCCTGATAAATCGACGGACAGCCCGCGGACTCAAACAAGGGGAGCATTCCTTCTCTCAACGCGGGGCAATGTCAACAATCCACCATGCAGTCATTGTGCGACTGGATCTGGACGTTTCTCGATATGCGTATCTCTGGAAGACTTCTTTCACGGTGCATGTTCCACCTGTCAGATGGCTACACGAGGAAATCTATGTAGTCTAAGAACCGGGAAAGATGGTGGTATGGTTGTAAAACTCGATTTGCATTGATCTCTTCTAACAAGGAGTACAGAAAGCCCATCTCTCAGCAAGTCTATAGAGCTTGAACAATCACGGACGCCTACCCTGGGCGGCTATAACCAACCTGAAAGCTCTTTGAAGCGGAAAAGGTCGACTCCTCCCCCAGCTGTGGTTCACAACGCTCAGCTACAATCGCGAAATTACTCCAATTATATACAGCCCGGTCAAGGCTCGCCATCTGGTTTTACGCCATCGAATATACCTACATCGAATCGCCTGGTAGGGGGCCAAGCTACTCCATCGAATTATGCGTATCAGGTAGACAAGTCTGCGTACCAGGTAGACAAATCTGCAAATTGGCCGGAGCGGGTGGCACCCTCCTTTCAGACACAAAGCAACCTTGGGCGAGCGACTCTGACAAGCCAAACGCAAAACAACTTTGGCGGACAATATAGCGCTCCAACGAATTCCTACAATGGAAGACTAGGAACAGGAACCCACGAGAGGGAGGCAACGAATTCGATGTCTCCCAGCACACAGCTCTTGCAACAAGCGCCCCAAGAAAGGGCACCCCTCCATGTGGATCCTATTCCTCCTCAAAATTTCCAACCAACCTCAAATTCGTTCCCACCTCTCATCGATACTCTTCCGCGGCATAAGCAAAAAAGGATATTTGGGGTCATTGGTGGGATTCAAAGTGGGATTAGGACTGTTCGGCAACAGGCAGACAATCTACAACGGCAGTTGGATCTTTTACAAGCCGAGATGGGAATTGATGCCGAGGATGATAATGGGGACGGATAACGAGGTGCAGACAATATTTTTGTTTAACCTCTTCATCTAATAATAATTGCGTGTACAATACGTCGAAATGTCAACGGTAATATTTGGAGGGGGCGAAAACGAAGAGCGAGCGCCAGGGCGCGGCTAATATTCAAAGGGTATATTCCTGCCATAATACAATATTTAATTATCGGAGCTTACTATCTTCTGCTTCTCAACCAGATCAGCTGAACATTATCAGGCTCCTCTTTTGGAACACTCGTCGATTCAACATGTTGCCTTCTACTCTATTCGGGGCGCTTTTCATCCATGCTTCCATCTAGTCATTACTCTTCAATCTCACACCCAACAGCAGGATCTTCCCTTTACAATTTCTGCCACATTTCCCAGGATCGACAAGACCTGCCGACTTAACCTCCCATCCCCCATCTCAGTTACATCTAGGCTGGTAAATTCAGGAATCAGACCGTCCTCAAGCGAGTCGGGATGAGGTTCTACCCCTGCCATGCTACCTTTGTAATTGATGAATGTTATGGTGACTGAAACCCCCCAAACCTCTTCTTGCGAGCGCACATGCGGGATTTTCAAGCCCATGAAGAGTCTATGCAAAATACCCGTCTAGGTTGCGAGTAGCGGCCTCCACGGCTTTAGTCATCCCCTGGGAGGACTTGTCATGTTGACTGTACTCAGCAAAATTACCATCATGTTCTGTACAATCTTTTTCACTGGCTTGGGCATCAGCAAGGTCCAGATTAAAGCAGATCGCTTTTTCAGCTAGTACGGAACTTGAATGGATCAGCTAGCTGCGTGGCATTTTCGTTGCAAGACTACGCCAGCATCAAATCTCTTGTTCTCTTGGTCTGAATTGAAAAAAGGACGATGCTTATTTAAGGGATTGCCATTACTAAAGGCTGAAAGATTAAGTTTACGTATATGAGTGCGTGACTGACTACACATTGCGGGACTTGAGCTCAAGTTTGGGATCTGGATAGCCCTGACAGTCAACTCCATATTTATGCATTCTCTATAACTAGATATGCCATTATCCGGCTGACTCAACGAATTATTCGCAGTAAGAAGCTTGAAAGAACGGGATATAATGTTCACTTCCACGTCAGCCGGCCGTTCTCAATCTTTAGCCCTCGGATTCTGCCCATATTTGTGTTGCCGCTTCTTGCGCCTGACTTGATATGGCGGATGATCAATGCAGTCAACCCCTCGTCGTTGGTAAGATGCATTCCGGGGGTGCGAAAATACGCCACAATAATAAGGTCGACCGCTTGCAAATTGACCTGCCGTTTGGCTCAGATGTCTCTACCTGTGTTTTGGTAAGAAGTAAGGTAGAAGGAAGGCTCTATGCACACATTTTCAGTTGAAAGCTTCTATCATATGGCATTAATGCGCAAATATCTCGTGAAGCAAAATTCGGTGATTCAAGGATGGATAACACCAGCCAGCAGGCTACAGATCTCTAATCAAAGATTCCGGAAGTCGTCTTTTTGAATAATCATGTCTCATTCGTCAGTCTTCCCCAACGTTTACGAGAATAGCCGCTAACTAAGACTAGGATGGTCCAAGAGTGAAAGTGGCACAGTGTTTCGGCTCGCGCCTACTCCGCGTGTATTTTGGGCTACCAGGGTCCAGGACCAGGTCTCCTCATCTTGCAGACTTGCACCCAGAAACATAAGCTTTTACTCCACCCGGCGCCCACATCCAACGTCAGCATGGTCTCGGCATCTTGTGGTACCGACAAGCTTTTTCGGTATTGACCCAGATTCTAGGCCTCGCCTCTCTCACTTCTTCCCCACGAATCTGCACATTTCTTCACTGTACGGACTGGTCTCTTCACCACCAACGCAACAGTGTACAAGAAGTTGGCTCCTGGGACGGTATGAGGCATATAATATGGATGTCCATACGAACCAACGAATGTGAGGTCCATGCTCTGATTCCTTCCTCTCTCTCTCTCTCTTCTTCTCAGAACACTCTCAAGTGGGTCGTTGGGCACGGAACAAATGTCATCTTCAATGGAGACTCTATAAAGCTCAGCAAAGCCTGCATCGGGCTTGGTTACAAGGTCAGCGTTATTATTAACGTCAATATTAATGGCGCTTCAAATCTACGTATCCTTAGAAGATGTATACGTAGAAGGTGGGGTATCAGCAACAAATGCGGAGTACAGCAAGGAGGTAGTTCTTCGAATATCTTCACGATTCGCCTGATCAAGTACAAAATCCTTTCGTTATTTGTATATTTGGAATCAAGGTGCAATCATGTCTCAGATAGGAATGGTCTTTTAAGCAGGGAGTCTATCAAGTCACAAGTGTTCTCAAATATTGGGAAGCATCACCTAAACCTCGGGTCACCAGGGTGGTATATAGAACTTCATTGGCTGGCATATTAGCAAACGCGGGCCGATCTGAGCCCGGATTTTGGTACATTACTAGTGCTGATTCCAACCAATGCCTTTTTAACCTGCTTGTAGGTACTTCTATTCTTGGCGCTTCCCCAGAATAGCCATGGCAGTGCCGCGCCTTTCGCGTTAATAACCGCTAGGAGCATTTCTCATCTGAACGATAATTCGTCAGATCCACATTAGTTAAGCAGCAATCGAAGACTCAGCATCAGCATCAGCATCAGCGTTGGCATTAGCACTACCAGCCTTACCTACGGCTCTCGGATGGGATGCTCAAGCCAGTCAGCCCGGGGCCCATACAGCTGGAATTCGATATTTCCAGAGTTGGAAACATGTATAAAGACGGCTGTGAAGCCGCTGATCATGTTTCTTTCACTCTTCATCCCAACAGCATCATCTTCTCCAAACAGCAATATTTTTCCATCTGTTTTCTTTTCTTTCCTATTTCTTATCTTCTATTTCTTTCCCAAAATCTAAAACCAACAAAAAAATATCAAAATGCGTTCTGTCTCTGCAGCAGTTTTGATTTTCTCTTGCGTTGCTTCAATAGCTTCTGCCGCTCCCACCGGTGCTTTCACTTTCGATAATGACCCTTTGCACAATGGCTTCCCAAACCCAAGTCCCGATCAAATCATCAAGATCGAACAAGCAGCCCACGGAAGTCTTCCTATTGCCGCTGCTGCAGCCAAGAATGCTACTTCGAAAGCTCCTAGCGCCGATACTGTAAGTTTGATTCTGCCCATGATGTCCGTCTTGCTGAGAGCCGACCCTTGGAGTAATATCTTGACTTGGCTCTGCAGACAATGAACCACAGATAAAACGCATACTAACTTCTTTATAGTTGACCTCCTTGCGTTTCATTGCCTTCAATGAGCTCTTCGAGGTTGCATTCTTTACCTCCCTCATCAACAACATCACCGCAGGTGTGGATGGCTTCAAGATCAACAATGGGACAGCACAAAAGTACCTTCTGGATGACTTGACTGCCATTCAGGCTCAAGAGGAACTTCACGCACTGAACGCCAATAACGGGCTCAAAGCAAACAAACAGAACCCTATCCAGCCTTGCCAATATGTCTTCCCAACAACCAACTTAAAAGATGCCATTGCGCTTGCGTCCAAGTTCACAGACATCGTTCTTGCTACCCTGCCAGACATTCAAACGGGATTCGCAACCAACGGCGATAATGGTCTTATTAGAGGTGTTGGTGCAGGTAAGGAATATCACTTCTCCCTAGACGTCACTTGAGACTAACCTTCTCTCTAGTTATTGGCCAAGAGGGTGAGCAGAATGGTTTCTACCGCCAATTCGACAAGAAGAACAAGAAGATCCCCAGCGCCCTCCCTTTCTTGACTGCCGGTACTCGAAACTTCGCCTTTTCCGCCCTGAACCAGAACTTCGTCGTCCCAGGCTCTTGCCCCAACATCCAAGACATCACTAATGACAAGAACATTGCAATCTTCGACGCACTTGCCGTGGAAACCGACGGTGGCAACCTTAAGCCCCAGACTCAGAACGTGAAGTTCAGTTTCGTGGCAAGCGAGATCAAACCTGAGTGGAAGGGTACAAACAGTGACTGGACTGGTCTTTCTCTCGTCTACATCAACCAACAGAACGCCCCAATAAGCGAGAAGCTCCTGAACGTCCAGGCTACTGTAGGATCAAACGGCATTACAATCTCGTTCGAGGCCAGCTTCCCCTTCGATGGCGTTGCTTTCGGTAATGGCCTGACGCTCGCGGCTGTGGTTCCCTCCAACAGTGACGTCTCCAGCGTGACTACCGTTTCGGCGGCTACTCTTGCAGGCCCTGGCTTGATCGAGGTGAACTAGATGGTTTCAAAAGACGTAATGATTGCATAGATGATCTAGACTTGCGGACTTCGAGCTGGCTTTGCTTTTAGATTATGGTTTGACACGGGCATTGTTTTTGATTGGATTTTAATTACATTTTAGTACATATATACACAAATAAACCCCCGGCTGCAAAGCCGGTATTGCATGCGAACTATGCTCCTAGTTATTTCAAAAATGTGAAAATCAAACCCGGCTACAAAATTACCCCTGAACGGCTTTGAGAGCAAAGCAACCTGCCTCTGATCTCTTCTGCTACCATTTAAGACATGGAGCCAGTAAACAGGATCTTCTAAAATATTCCTACGGTAAAATATCCCAAAACCCCGGAGACCACAAACCTAGAAAAGCAATATAATCCCTTGTGTCTGGCGACTAATATTCCCCGCCGCCGAATACCTCGGCTCCGGAGAACATCCAAGTCCTTGCCATCCATCACATCAACCAACACCTACCTCACTCTAATCCAAGCCCGTCATGATACACTTTCTATACACTCTGGATGGGATAACCTAATATCTATATCACAATGCCATCTCCACCCCCGCTAAGCGGCCTCCGCGTGCTCGAATTCGCGGGCCTAGCCCCAGGCATGTTTTACCCCTCCTTTTAACAAAGCTTCAACTGACACTCCTACCTAGGACCCTTCGCCGGCCTTCTCCTCGCCGACAATGGCGCATCAGTCCTGCGCGTCGACCGCAGCACAACCTCTCCCAACCCAGCACCAACCGCCGACCTCCTCACGCGGCATAAATCCTCTATAGCCGTAGACCTGAAATCGCCCTCGGGCATCGCGTTCATTAAGGCCCTGCTGCCCACCACAGACATTGTAATCGATCCATTCCGGCCCGGTGTGTTGGAGAAGCTGGGGCTGGGACCTGATGTCTTGCTGGGCATTAATCCGAGGATTATTCTTGCCCGTATGACGGGGTTTAGGAGGGATGGAAAGTATAAAGATATGGCGGGGCACGATATAAACTACCTGGCCGTATCTGGCGCCCTCTCTCTGCTCGGGCGTAAACACGAGAATCCCATGCCTCCTGCCAATATATTGGGGGATTTCGCTGGCGGTGGAGCGACGCTGTTCCAGGGTATATTGTTGGCGTTGCTTGAGAGGGGTAAGAGTGGAAAGGGGCAGGTTGTGGAGGCGAATATGGTAGATGGGAGTTCGTATCTCGTTACATTTCCCCGCATGTTGATGGTAACACCGACATGGAATCGGCCTAGGGGAGAGAATTTGTTGGATGGAGGGAGTCCGTTCTATGATGCTTACGAGACGAAAGATGGGAAGTATATGGCTGTTGGGGCTTTAGAACCCCAATTCTTCAAAGAGTTGATTCAAGGTTTGGGGCTTGAGGGCAAGGGGATCGAGAAGAGTAGGGACGATAGGAATACCTGGCCTGCATTGAAAGAGACATTTACGCGGATTTTCAAGAGCAGGACACGAGCCGAGTGGGAGAAGGTGTTTGATGGCACGGATGCGTGTTGTACGCCTGTTCTCGATTACCACGAGCTGCGGAAAGATCCTAGTAAGGAAGGAGACCAAAGACCAGCTGTCACGCTCCGAGGATCACCAAGTCTTGCGCTCTCGCCCGGTTCAGCATCGCGAGACCCATCTACCGGCCAAGGAGCCGGGGTCAAAGGGGAAAGCTATACAGGAACAACTTTATCCCCCGGCCAAGGAGGAGAGGAAGCATTGAAAGAATGGCTAGGCTGGCAACGTGGGAAGGATTTCCAGGTAGAGAATGGAGGTTTGGTGAAGAAACCGTCTTCGAAATTATGATCGAGACCATTACTATCTATTCGAATTCATGCCGTTGTTCCCTTTTTCCATATCCATACCCTTTTCCTTTTCCTTCCAAACAAAGCAACCAAGCAAACAGCCATCCCATCTATAGACGCCCAAAGCTATGCAGTCTCCCAGACACCGACAGTGGAGAAGTACCCAGTTCTTGCACACTCCTTATTATATCCTATTTCCAATTCCACTTCGCCTTCTCAATCCACTCCAATCTGCAGCGCCGTTTGGCTGCCTATTTTTTTTCGCGTCTTTCTTGCATTGTGCGTTGTGGGTCTAAATCCAAGGGCTTCTTGACGTCTCGTTTAGTCTTTTTTCCCCCATGTTTTCAAGCATGTGGAAGTCTGGAAAACTTACGTTTCAAATCGCCACACTCTCACCATTAAATGTAACGCTTCTTGAAGGACTCGGGGGCGGTGGCCGAGGGGGGGAAGGTGGATCTCCTCGCGACATGTTTCTCGGCGGGCTGGTTTGGAAAGAAAAGTCTGCTCTTGATGATTTTCGTGGGGCAATGTCGTTGCTTCGAGTGTTGCCCACGGACAGAAGATTCTTGACACAGCCAGAAGATTCTTGAAACAGCCAGCTTATCTTCCTCTTTTCCTCCCTCCTCGTATCTATCTCTCAAGGAAATGACGGAAGCTGTTTACTGAGACCGTATTCCGTCTAAGCGCTCGGCTATGCGTACCTGGGGACGAAAAAGCAACGGGCCAAGCCACTCGGAGAATAAGGGTGCAATGGGAAGGCAGCAAAGTAGTGATGTAACTGTCACAAGCTTTTCTTTTCCAGAAGCTGTCGTGAGTTGATGAGAAGTGAGGGATGATGAACCTTAACGTCTTTTCTTTTCTACCTCCCCCATCTACTCACCGCCACTATATACACAATCGGGGAACCACAACGCAAATGCAATGTCTCTCTCCATGCGAGTATGATTCGACAACGCGACTCCACACCACTGGTTCGTGCTTTGCATTCAAGATTGCATCGCCATCGTCTTGCCATCGCCATGCAATGCTAGAACCCAGGAAAAGTCCGTCGCACTGTCTGTCTGTGGTGGTAAGGTAGGTGGTGCGAACAGCGGAGAACGAACGGACAGACAGACAGCTTGCTTGATAGTAGCCACTTGGCATCCGGGCAAACGCCTCATCGGCCTCGAGGACTTCCCTTCCCCTCATCACCATTGCCGTGTGTCCCAACATTCCACAAGGAAAAAAAGTGAAAAAAAAAAATAAAAGTCCAGCACCCGAAGAAAACCACGAAGAAAAGGAAGAAAATAAAAAAGCTACGCGCGGGAACGCACAGCGGCGGGTAGCGCAAGCACAAGACTGGCCTGGCAGCGCGTCAAATCCTGCCACAAGCGCACTGTGTACCCGGGAACAGACAGGAGATCCGGGCACCCGGTTCGCAACTGACAGGGCAGTGACAGCGTGGCACTTTCTTTCCAGAAAAGCGGTGGGCGACTTCTGGGCGGCGAATCAGCGCGGGCGGCCGTCCGGAGAAATCTAGATCGACGTGTTACGAGATGAGATTTGGAAAAATCAAAATCCGGGTACGGGGCTCCCATCGCTGTGCTGGCCGTTGCACTGAGCCTTGATGATACCACACCTTGGCGCATCTTGTACTTTTGTCAAATCAAAGCCCCGGCTTGGCGGCGAGTGGCAGTGTGGGGAAAAGGCAAGTATTGGCTAGGCTTGGGGAAGGGAGTAGGAACGGGTAATCTCTTGCACTATCTAATATGTCTGATTTGAAGGCAGTAGAGAAACGGGAAAGGAATAGAACCATACAACTCTCGCTATCGGAGCCAATTCGCCTTATGCCCCCTCCAGGATACACGCCCCCAACACCCCGTACGCTCATCACCTTCACCGTCCATCATGTATTCCACGTCATTAACAAGCGGCCAGAAGAGGTATCGTATCAAAAAATGCTGGATAAGTGTCTAGGGTGACAGCATTAGTATGGTGTGCAGTCAAATCATTCCGAGGTGCGCCATCCAAGTTCCCTCACGGGTCCTCGATGCCGTTCTCATTCCAATCCAATTCAAATCGCCCCTTATTGTACTTGGCTAACGATCTCGCTGGCACGTGATAGTGATTCAACCATTTGTTGACATTCCTTTCTCCGTCGGACGGTGTAATCGCTCTCCTTGAGAAGTTCATCTAACGAATCGGTTCTGTACATGTTCTCGAGGAGCTCCCTTTGCATCTCATCTTTTGTGAATCTGTGTATTGTCAGCAGGCTAATGAGCTGTGGTTCCTGATTACTCACTGGACGAGGTTCAACATAATTGCTTTCGGTACCATGTCAATCATAGTTCTCCTTACGATGTTGTAGTATGAGGTGATGAGGAGTTCTATCTTTGTTAGCATATATTTCAAAACGGGTTGGAGGTGAATTACTGATGACTTCGACCTCGATCCCTTCCCTCTCTGACAAATGACCAGATGCTTTCAGGGAAGGTGGTGGTGCTTCCATGGAAGCCATCTTCTTCTTATTTCTCGAGGCAAAGAAACTCCCGAAGAATCCTCCGTTCTGATCGTTCATAGCATCCAAGGTTGGGCTGGCCGCGCGCACTGGAGTTGCTGAAGCAGGCATGGGCTTTCCAGTCTTAGGGTCGACCTGGACTGGCTTTGCTGAGCTGTGCTTCTCATTGACAATTGCCATAGCTCTGTGGCCATTCAAGAAATCGGGATGCCCGGTATTGATGTAACAGGCTTCCATGGCAACTAGATCTTTGACTAACTTGTTTGTTGGATCCATAACTTTCTTAAAGAAGCTTATGACAACTGCATGGAACTTCTCCTTCAACCCAGGATATCTTCTGAAGAATTGCTTGTTGAGCAGTTGAGAGAGGATTCGAACAAGCTCGTCATAGACCAAAGACACACACTTCAGACTGGGGTCTTCTAGACGCTTGATCTGTTGCTTAACTATGAGTTCAAACGCAGTGGTACCGACGAAAAGAGCGGGCGAGGATCCAGAGGAGTTGTAAAGGATGGTCCTAATGTCCATATCTCTGACTTGATCGAAGGGGTCCACAGCTTTAACACCGTTGGAGTAGAGCTCGTGGAAAACAAAACTGATTCTGGCACCTCCAGAAAGCTCGACACTCGAAAGCTCTGTGCTGTTTCCCTCCAGAACTGTTCTCCATTCGTTTGAGAATTCTGTGATGATATTGAGAACAATATTTGCGCTGTTGCCAAGCATCGAATCGCCTAAACCTTGAAGTTCTGTCGTATATTTCAGTAACGAGGCTGATATGCGTGCTTTGATATCTGGTAGAGTTTGCTTAATGTGCATCATCAAGATAAGGTTGAGCTTCCTCGCCAAATATGGCGTTCCGCAGTAGGAGCTCTTGTTACGATATGCCTTGTGGTTCTCAAAGAAGTTCTTCTCGTTTTCCAGTGCTGCTGTGATTGCCTTCTTGTTGTCGATATCTCTCTGCCCACGGTTGACAACTGGAACATATCCTAATCGCAGGGGGATGATTCGGCCAGCCAAAATATCTACCACGTCGGTACCGTCGTCCATCAAATCGACCTTTGTCAGAACACCAATTGTTCTTTGACCCTCTGGGTCGACTTCTCGTGCAAGCTTCAATCCATCAGAGTTGGCCAAATCAGTGTTCGCTCCAGTGACCGCAAGGATGATCGCATTTGGCTTGCTGATTTGCTTCAGCACCATCTCCTTGATTTGCCTCTCAATATCTCTAGGTTGGTCTCCAACTGGTACCTTTGTGAGACCGGGTAGATCGACGAGGGTGAGGGTAAGGACGTTCGGGGAGTATATTCGCAAGTTGATGGGCGCGGGAGAGATGCCCTGGTTGCGACCAGTCTTTGCCTCGGTCTCCTTGACAATCTCATCTCGAATCTTATTGAAGTCATAAAACTTCTGGCCCGGAATATGTAGAAATTCGCCCCACTCATCAACGTTTGCCTCCTTGTCGGTCACGGTAGATACCTCATCCTGCGTTCCATTTGTCTGCGTCCCCGCCGCACGGTTGATAAGTTGAAGAACGAGTGGTCGCCTGGTCACGATACCGGTGCCTCGAGGTAAACTATGTCTTTATGTTAGCACTAGCCTATATCAAGGCATGAGGTAGTTGTACAAGTCTCTTCCCACTATGTTTTCCAGCACGGAACTCTTTCCACTCGACTGACTCCCAACCACCACTATTTGGGGAAGATCGATAGGGTTTTGGACACCGACGGTCGTGAAGACATCTTGAAGCTTATTGACCAGCCTGCAGAGTCTGTTAGCAAGGGAGCGCAAAGGGGAGGGCATTCAGGGGATCTAACGTTATGAGGGACGGATCCGAGATACCGCCTTGCGCGGACGCGGTCAAGGACATGATGGTAGTGGTGTATCTGTGAGGAGTGCTGGTTGATGTGGTGTATACGGAGTTGTAAAGTAGTCTACCCGTAGGAGCAATAAGGGAGGGGTGGAGGGTCTATTGTGGAGGTGGTCAAGTATGGTAGATTGTCTCGTCTCTCTCGAATTTCAGGAGGCTACGCAACTGAGCTTGGCGTCGTTTGTCGCTGTGGCTTGACACAGGGATCAGCTGCACTGCCACAATTTCGAGCGGAGTGAAGTCGAGACCAATCTTCTGATATTTCCACTCTTGAGTTGAGATTTTGAAGGGTTTGTAGATAATCTTCACAAAAGGATATCTTTGATGCTAGTCTAAACTTTAAGTGAGTCGTTCTTTTCTGTCGCTCTTAAGAATGTATAATTCAAGTCTCAAACTTTAATTCTAGGTGTGCGTGACTGAAGTCAGTCCCACATTTACGATTCTCTGTGTTGGATAATTGCGAATGCAGTCTTGCTTCGTCATTTCAATAGCTAATTCTGGGTTCAAAGCAATTTGCTTGCTCAAGGCAACTTCAATACAGCTCACTATACCTCGTAGTCTCACAGTTGAGCTTACGATTCAACACGCGTCTTGCCTTCAGGCTACTACGGTACTTAGTTACCTACCTTATCTGAGCACGTGAGAACCTCAATATTACCCCTTTCCAAGCTCAACTTACACTCGCTACCTAGATATCCCCTAAGAAGTTGATTTTACTCGTTCGGGTCATCCTATTCCAATCCCTGAGAATTAACCTGCACCGAAAGTCACGTTCATACCCTCAGTCATCATGTCCAAAACAATAACAGTAATCGGTTCACTTAACACCGACTTGGTAACACTCACTCCTCGGGTCCCCTCAGGGGGTGAGACCTTGACTGCTACTTCATTTAGCACGGGGCCTGGTGGTAAAGGTGCAAACCGTAAGTACATTTCTCTTTATAAACTTCCCTTTTGAATCTCATTTTTCCTTCCCAAGACACAAGCTCCGTCCCCTCATGTTAACCCCCCATCCAGAAGCCGTAGCATGCGCCCGTCTCTCCCGCCCAAACCCCACGGCCCCCTCCTCCATCACAGTGCGCATGCTTGGTTCTGTAGGCGCCGATGAATTCGGCCCTGAAATGATCTCATCCCTCCAATCCTCCCTCATCGACACATCATCCATAACCGTCGCAGAAGGCCAATCCACCGGCGTAGCCGTGATCATCGTCGAAGAAACCACCGGCGAAAACCGTATCCTCCTCTCGCCCGGTGCAAACCACTCTCTGCTCCCCTCTTCATTTACCTCTGCCTCTTCACTCGGCGTGCCGAAACCGGATCTGGTGATCCTGCAGCTAGAGATCCCACTCGAGACCGTGTTGCAGATTATCAAGACCGCGAAATCAGCCGGCGTGGATGTGTTGCTTAATCCAGCACCTGCCGTAAAGTTACCTGAAGATGTGTTTAAGGGACTGGGACATCTGATTGTCAATGAATCTGAAGCTGCGATCCTGACATCCCGCTCTGTTGCCGATGTTGAAGCTGACGGTTTTGATTGGGATGTTGTTACGTCTGAGTTCCTGTCTAAAGGTGTGAAAAATGTTATAGTTACATTGGGATCAAAAGGAGCTTTCTTTCAGAGTTCGGGTATGGAAAAGGGCGTTTCTGTGAAGCCGGAGAAAGTAAAGAAGGTTGTCGATACGACAGCGGCAGGCGATACGTTTGTTGGTGCGTATGCAGTAAGTGTGGTACAGAAGGGGGGTAATGTGGGTGAGGAGGATGTAAAAGGCGCTTGTAGAGCTGCGGGAAGGACCGTGGAGAAGAAGGGGGCGCAGAGTGCAATCCCATGGTTGGATGAGGTTTAGTGGGAATTATATGTAAAAGTTTGTCTTAGATTTGTTCAAATGGAGTAGCATTCGCTCGCTCTACATACACTCCGTTTCCTCGCTCTGCCTAAATGCCATTCATTCTATTCGCGCTACCTGCATCGAGTCTAAACAACCCTACAAGAGGAAAAACTCCAGTCCGCTTGCATTCAGTCATTGCCCAAACACCGTAGATGAATGCCCCTATCAGAAGATGCAGAAAATCCAGTCTTGCCTAACCTTTGCGCCGATGTATCAATCATGCCATGCTGCTCAAAAGTGTTCGTGAGCTATTTACTACCAGCCGTTAGGTTCTGGTGGTGGAACTTTGGGTATTTGGAGGGCGGTGCCTTCATTAGACCATCTGGGAAGCTTGTTAGTAAAATTTTGGGAATTGGTGTAGGGGCAGGGTGTGACGTACATTCGGACTTTCTCGTCGTCGCCGCATGAGGCGAACATGCGTGGATTTGTTGGGTTCCAGGATACAGCACTGCAGCAACCCCCAGGATGGCCATCCAGCTCTTTAATAAGTTGGCCATTCTCTCGGTGCCAGATGTACACTTTGCCATCTGAAACAAGTCAGTATTAAGTGCGAAAAAGCCAGAAACAGGAACATACCAGCACTCCCTGTGGCCACAAAGCTCTCATTAGCGCCACCATATGTGGCCCTGATAACATCTTCCCCACCTTGATTCCCAGCTTTGAATACCTGGATAGGCCCCTCTGTCTGTCTCTCCAGATCCAAGATCTGAGCTTCGCCATCCTTCATGTTGACTAATAAAGACCGCGAATCCTGACTTACGCATACTGATCTTAATCGAGATTTCATCTTCATCTCAAACACCGGCTCTCGCGTTATAAAATTATAGCCATAAATATGTGTGTCATGATCCATGGCAACTAGCCAGCGTCCATTTGGGGTGATAGCAATATCTTGTATTCGATGGTTTCGCCCCCAGTCGTAGACTTCTTCTCCGTTGAGATCGTATTGGCATAAATTACGCTCATTTGCAAGGCACCCAACCACAAATGTCTGCCCATCTGGAGCCCAGGCACAACTTGTGGAGGGCTCCCCAAAGCGAGGTAGCACAGCTTTGATCGTCCCAGTCTGTATAAATGGCTTAGCAATCATCAACTACGTTTCATCCTCTGAAGCTTACATTAACATCCCATAAGCGAGCCTTCCTGTCTTGTGAGCATGTAACCATCATTGAATCATCTGGACTCCATGCAAAAGATGCCACCCCGTCTTCATGATCCGAGAGAACACGCTGGACTTCGAATGACCCTACATCATATATTATGACAGAACCGTCTCCGCCACAGCTTGCTAATCGTGAGCCATCATTCGAGAATTTCACTAGCCACACTTGACTGGCATGCTTAGTGAGCTCAAGAACGGGCTGCATGGGAAAATTCGTGGCGTCGCACTCGTGGTCTTGGTATAATGATGGAGAGGCCGCTGTGTTATGATATAGACAGTTCGATATTTGATTTCGTTTTACTTGGTCCAGTAATACAGCCAGTCGACTTTCAGGTAACATGACTGAGGGGGATATACATTCTAGAAGTTGTTAGTATTTATGTTTATCTGGGTCAGGAAACCCACTTGAAAGTTCCGAAAGAAGGGTATGTCGTGATTCGCCTTGTGCACCGTCCCATCCTGCCTTGGTCTTGAGATCCTCGGTAGATTGGCACATTAGTAGGCTGTTTGAGTTAGTATATCCTGACTATAAGTTATGTATGATCACCTACCTTGAAAGCTGGTGAAGTCTGGCAACGTCCTGGTACAAGGGCGTCAACTCTAAACGCAGAACCGCTAAAGCTCTCCCGGTTTCTTGCTGTTCCAATAACTCCAGAAATTTTTGCTGTCTTAACCCAAAGCGCATAGCATTCTTGTCCATGTTATCTTGCAAAGCTAGTCCATTTCCGTTGATGCTGACACCCCCTTCTTCTGTTGAGCGGCCAAATAACAAGTCCTCGGCCTCAGCCCACCCACCCTGTAAGACCGCGGTTCGAAAGGCTGCAACAGAAGGATTCTCAAGATCATATCCACTTTCTTGGCTTAGATTCAAAGCACTGCCATCATATCCCAAGTCGGTCAAAGCTTGTATTAAAATCCGCGTCACTTCTTCTCGGTCATGTCCAAAATATGATGGTCTCAGCTTGCCACTTCCGGTCAAGTGCCCATTTGTATTCGAAGAGCCATTCATGGCCACGGGAGATTTCCGCAATCCATTTGCAGAATTCGAGACTGCGGCCTTGTGTAGAGGAGACGGCCCCGATCCATTTGAGAATGGCCTCGAAGTACCATTGGAACTGCTACTCTCGCCTTCTGCTCGCATTCTAGGACCCTGTCGTCTTCTCTTTGGGCGGTGCTCGTTCTCAGCCTGATGTTCATCTACCGAGCCCCTAGGACTCTCGTGAATGTCTGGCTGGGCTTCCGAAGTTGGAGAAGGGTCTCGACGGCGACGACGGCCGAGAATCTGGGACGAAAAGGGTATTTGGGCTTCTGGGGAGCCTTGCAGAAGAGTTCCTGCCGGGGGAGTGATAGGGTCTTGTCGAGTTATTTGCTGTGGTATTTGGTGGTTTGTGCTTGGGGCTGAGATTGCTGTGCTGGGAGGTGGGGAGGGGGAAATCGGGGTGGATTGGAGGGCGGAGTTGACGGGGGATAATATAGCAGGGAGCTCGGAATCGTCTGCCAGGACGACTTCTGCGGGAGTGCCGCTGGTGAAAGAGTGTTCCAAAAGACGTCTCTAAAGACTGCTTGGTACACCTTCCAGAAACTGTGTATTGTTGGTCTGGTGAGGGTTGTAGAACTAAAGGTGGAGGTGGAGTAGGTAGAGAGTAGTGTGCCTTAATCGTAACGCTATAGGCTTTCGATAAATATAGTAGATACCTTAGCTCAGTCAGACGGGGCGTGGATATCAAACTGAATCACGTCCAAAGCTGTCGAGTTCGTGGTCACGGTCATTCTTAAGACATGGATGTAGGCTTAAGTGCAGTGAAGTTGAGTTGTGTTGTGTTGTGGTGGGAGGGTGCGGGTGCGGTTCTCAACCCCGATTGAAGTCGATAACCCCTTGCCTACCGTAGCTAGGTTACTCCGTATCTGAACAATCAGGCGGGCTCCTCTGTTCCTGCCATGTGATGTAGATTGGAAGTCATATGCGGCTTTTGATATTAGAATCAGAATAACCACAGAACTGATTACCTGTTTGTTCCATGTGGATTACAATAATGTGTAATGTAGTCCTTTAAATTACTGGAATTTTTAGTATCAGTAATCAAGATATTATTGTGACCGGTGGTGTACGGAGGGACTTTTGGTGGGGGAGCTGCCTTTCGTTTACAGTAAAGCCGCTAAAAGCTCTCCCGTACTTCTTCCCAACCCAATCTAAAAGAGGTGCTTCCCTCCTACAGCAAGCAGCTCCACCAAAGCTTCGATATCTAGACCACTGTCAATTGAGCAACCCACCTCTGTGTCTGTTGGTTGATGAATGTTGGCTTTCGACCCCGTCTGAGAGCTAGAACTTCATTGTACGATCTCATCCACAACCGGAGCATTGAGCAACTGTCCCAGCACCCGCACCGTAGCTACCCAGAAGAGTTGCCTCCCCTACCCTCATCGCCTTTCCCTACGCCACCTCCAACTCCACTCAAGTCCGAAGAGATAGAACTTGTAGCAGGATCCGCCAGGATGGCCCCAAAGAAGGAAGCAGCTAGAGATGAAGACGGCGAGGAGCAATATGGTATGTTGACGTCTCTGGAGCTTCGAAAGTTGGGGCTAACAATAGCTGCACAGGCTCCATTTACTCTGTCTCTGGGTTTGTATATCTCACATAAAAAACCGGTCCAATTACTAATTCACGGCAGACCCGTTGTGGTGGCAGAAAACATGATTGGTGTTGCTATGTACGAATTGGTGAGCTCCCAACTTCTGGAGACAATGACTAGTAGCTTATACATCATCCCAGGTCCGTGTCGGTCACGATAATCTTGTCGGAGAAGTCATTCGAATCGAAGCAGACAGAGCTACAATTCAAGTTTATGAAGAGACTGGTATGGAATATATAGCATTATATGGAAGAGGGTGCTGATGATTTGCAGCTGGTGTAACTGTAGGAGACCCTGTCCTTCGAACCGGAAAGCCTTTGTCAGTTGAACTGGGCCCTGGATTATTGGAAACGATCTACGATGGTATTCAACGTCCTCTCAAAGCTATTGCGGACACCTCAAACAGCATTTACATTCCTCGAGGTATTACTGCACCCGCATTGAACAGGGAGAAAGTCTGGGACTTCAAGCCTATAATGAAGGTTGGAGACCATATCACTGGTGGAGATATCTGGGGTACTGTTTGGGAAAACTCTCTTATGAGCGACCATAAGATCCTGCTGCCACCTCGTGCAAGAGGAACAATTACTCGCATTGCGGAGAAGGGAGGCTACAAGGTTGACGAAAAAATCCTGGAAGTGGAATTTGATGGCAAGAAGACGGATTACAGCATGATGCACACATGGCCCGTCCGTGTACCCCGCCCAACTACCGAGAAGCTTGCAGCAGAAAAACCATTTGTTGTCGGCCAACGAGTTCTTGATGCCTTGTTCCCCAGTGTTCAGGGTGGTACTGTTGCTATCCCAGGAGCTTTCGGTTGTGGCAAGACTGTCATTAGTCAATCTGTATCCAAGTTCTCAAACAGTGACGTTATTGTCTACGTTGGATGCGGAGAGCGTGGAAACGAGATGGCCGAAGTCTTGATGGATTTCCCAGAGCTTTCAATCGAGATCGACGGCCGAAAGGAACCTATCATGAAGCGTACTGTCCTCATCGCCAACACCTCGAACATGCCTGTCGCGGCTCGTGAAGCTTCCATCTACACTGGTATATACCCCCCTTTCCTCTTTCCTTGCACCTTCCCTTCAACACCTTAATACATCGTCGTAATGTCGAGGCAGCGCCTGCCTTCAAACCTAGTGGTCTCTCATTTCTGTCTGTTTATCCTTATTCCATACCAGTTATCCAAATTCGTCTCATCATCGCCACGTTTCAACTTGCCTTTCAACTTCTCGCATCACACTAATTATCTTCATCACACTAATCATCTTCGTTTTACAGGTATTACTTTGGCTGAGTACTACAGGGACCAGGGCAAGAATGTTGCTATGATGGCTGATTCTACCTCTCGTTGGGCCGAGGCTCTTCGTGAAATTTCCGGTCGTTTGGGTGAAATGCCTGCTGATCAAGGTTTCCCTGCTTACCTGGGTGCCAAGTTGGCCAGTTTCTATGAACGTGCTGGAAACGTTCAAGCTCTTGGTAGCCCAGATCGTGAAGGCAGTGTCAGTATTGTCGGCGCTGTCAGTCCTCCTGGTGGTGATTTCTCAGATCCCGTCACTTCCAGTACCCTAGGTATTGTTCAAGTCTTCTGGGGTCTCGACAAGAAGCTCGCTCAACGAAAGCATTTCCCTTCAATCAACACGGGCGTCAGTTACAGTAAATACACCAATATTCTAGACAAGCACTATGAGAAAGATTACCCCGAATTTCCTCGCCTCCGAGACCGTATCAAGCAGCTCTTGACTGACTCTGAAGAGTTGGACCAGGTCGTCCAATTGGTCGGAAAATCTGCTTTGTCCGACCCTGACAAAATTACGTTGGATGTCGCTAGTTTGATCAAGGAAGATTTCTTGCAACAGAACGGCTATTCTGACTACGATCAATTCTGTCCGATGTGGAAGACTGAGTGGATGATGAAGGCTATGATGGGTTTCCATGATGAAGCACAAAAGTCTGTTGCCCAAGGCCAGAGTTGGAACAAGGTTCGTGAGGCTACTGGTGACATACAATCACAACTTCGAAGCATGAAGTTTGAGCTTCCTAGTGAAGGCGAAAAAGCGATCACCAAGAAGGTATGTGGGAATTGCCCTTCATTTTGAGACTTGGCTAATATGTTATAGTACGAGGACCTTCTCCAAGGTATGACGGATAAGTTCGCTGCAGTTACGGATGAGTAGATATGTCAAGACGAGACAAAATGAGATTGACTGAGGTTGCATTGCTTGCTTGGGATTGTTACAGAGTACTATTAAGTGATGGTCGATAGATGGAAATGCCAACGATGTAGTATATATTCTCTATGGAACTTCACAACACATGCTTCACTGTCCAGATCACGGGCTTACCTGTCCGCATTGCGTTTCTATGATTTCTCGCAGACATAATTCCCAGTCAGAATGCCTGGGACTTTGCTAAAAGGCAAGATTAGACATTGTCCTGACTCGCCACTTCCTCTTGCTTCGGCTTCTTTATTGGACTAGCGTGAGAGTGAATATAAAAAGCGGCAATAATGTATAATGTGTCAGGTGGCGTGGGACATTAGAAGTCGATGAGAATAAGTGCCGCTTTTTATGTCCAACAAACCCAAGGTATAAGCGGTGGTCCCTTTCTGGGAAGGCCGTAAATAATATATGATTTGATTCCGACAGTCTGCCGCCCCTAAGCGTTCACCGGCTGAAATAATATTCGCACCAGATACATCAGTGGCCTTTGCGGACCCAGAATGTGATTTGATGTCAGGTAATTACAGCCAAGGGTATCGCGCTAAGCTTTCAAAAGCAGTATCTATGCTCAGTCTGCACTTCCCATCTTTCATCAATGTCACAGTTCTTCTACCTCTCACCACAGTCCTATTTCATTTCGTAAGCATCCTAGGAAGTTTTCTATTTGCTCTGCTACGCGTTCTGTTTTCCTCAGATTAACTGCCTTTGCCCGGGAATTACTATAGTATGTGGAAACGTGCATGAGTGTGTACAATATCCTGGATTATACTGCATTGTGCTGGTCTGTCTATTCTCTTCTCATGCGCGTTTCCTACCTCCATGCATTGTAGAACCTCCCGTCTCTCAACCCAGCACTCCACTAAGGTGGGTCAAAGGGACAATTTGGGCCAAATGTGAAGAAAGCGGCCACGGCCCATTCTTTTCAGATTATAAAACTTCTGCACCAGCTTATTAAAATCAATTCTAAAAGTTAAGCACTATTCATTGGCTTTTTATGCATCTATTTGATCAATAGGAATAAATTATAATTGCGGTGGCTGTGTCGGGATCGCAAAAGGGAGGTTTATTCGGGGACTTAGAGTCCCACTCCTCTCCTCAGATACCATACTCCGGAGTCGATGATGTATGTCAATACCCTTATCCACCTCTGCTGTTTTCAAGATGACTGGACAAACCACCATTCAAGTACAAGAGCAACAACTACAACAGGCCCAACAATCTCAAAGAACAATGAGATTGGAGGCCCAGGACTCAGCTCCACCACATTCATCCCGAACACAGATGATATCAAGCTAACCGGAATGAAAACCCAAGCTGCAAGTGTAAAGCGGTTGACCCTCTTAGACTCTGCGATTGACTGCCGACTTGCTTCTAAGGAGAGGATAGCCACCTGGTCCGTGAGGCTATCATGTAGCTCTTGAGCGCGTTGTGAGAGGTACTCAAAGTCTTCCTTCAGCGATTGTTCTAACCTACATCTTTGGAGTTGTTTGATACTACGCAGTGCGAATCGAATATCTTTTGATAGCACCTGCGTATATTGCATTATTTTGGGGTAATCACGAGGTTGGACGACACCTAGGCTTGTAGGAAGGGCGCTTCGTGCGCTCTCATACGAACTCTCTAAACGCTCAAAAGCCCATCCAATTCTCAAGGCCAAGAGATTGCCCAAGAGTAGCACGAACTCAATAGGATTGGATAATGCACTTGAAATTGCGTTTCCATCCAAATCATCGAGTGTTTCAAACCAGAGCTCTTGCACATCGTACCGCGGAGTGCCTTTTCGAAGGCAAATGAGCACTGATGCCAGTTAGCTGACGCAAGAACGACCCAGATCACCGCAAACTTACCAATGGGGCTTTCTCCAGTGTAAGAAGAGTTATCGGGTGTGAGCAACATAGTGGACAGTGCGTCACCATGACTCATAGCTTCAAAGTTTTGAAACGATTGAGAAGCTCTAAGTTCAAACGAAACAGTCTTGGACGGTAGGTGCATATCAGGTTCAACGCGTGGCCTTGGATACGAAGACCTTAAAAACGAGCCACTCCCAAATGCCAAGTTCCTCTCGAAGAATTGAGGGTCAATCCCCAAATGTGCCCCTATAGTTGCAATGAGATCGTAATTCGCCCTGAGGGGCGATGAATAAGAAAGCACCACCAAGCGACACTTCGTCTCCGGATCTATTCGCTGTTCCAACTTAGGCCGTAACGCGGAGGCCTCGTTAAAGGTACTGCGGTGAGATGTATTTGAAAACACATCTATAATATGAGCCCGCGACTCAGTACCTCCGGCGGATGCCCGTCGCGCATCTCCCAATGCCTGTAGGCCCCATCCATAATATAACTCCTCTGAAGCATCAGTACTATTGTCGACTGCGACCGAGTCGAGTGCGATAGTTTCGGAGGACATCTGCAATTCGCAACTATCAACGCCAGAAGAAAAATGTTTGGAAGAGAAGGCTTGTGATCTTTGAAAAAACCCCTCCAGCCTGATAAATACTCAGCTGGCCCCCATCACAATATTATTGTTCCGGTTTTCAGTAGAGCCGAATCTGCCTGCATATGCATATCGAGTCCTGATTGGTGAAGGCACCAAAAGCAAGGCTGCAGTCAGCCCCAAACTTTTCCATTCTGGAAAATAATGCAACACTTCCACGAAATGTTAACGGCTGAAATCAGCACCCTTGCAAGGCAGGATAGCAGTACAGGACAACACACCTTGAGACCATACGGCGAGGATGTCTAGAAAAATATATCTGTAAGATAAAAAGCACAGGAACTGCAGCGCGAGTTGTCCAATTAATAAACATTTCCAAATTAACAGCTATCAAAGCCGTTCCGCATATCTTTAAAATGAAATCCAGACTCTGATCACTATTACCATAACATCCTCCTCTTATATATTCCCGGTAATCCCAGGCTGGATCCCCTCTAAAATCTCCATCAGCTCACCATACACCCTCTTCTGCGTCTCTGCTCCTTTCTCGCTCCTAACCCAAGCGCTCGGTTGGCGGACCTTACAGTCGGCCATGTAACTAGATGGAGCATTAGAATAAAGATGATAATAAAATCAAACATGTTAAAAATGAATGAGCTTGTGAAATCACTCATGAAATGATTTGGGAAGGGATAGATATTAGCTCATGAAAAAGTCCATCAAAGATTTCGCCGTCACATTTGTATGAACGAGAAGAAACTAACCACCCATGACTTTCTTCCCCCGCACTCGCAGCCGCTACCAATGTCCTCGACCCAACCTCCGTACTCCGCGCAAGGATCAATTTCCCGATATACGCTGCTATATTAAGCGGGAAGCGCGCGTGACGCATGAGGGCACTGTGGCAGAAGCCTGGGGTGAGAGTATTGAGAATGATTTTACGCTTGGTGGAGGTAGAGAGAGCGGGTGCTAGGCAGCGGATCGTGAGAATCTCGAGAAGTTTAGAGGTGTTGTATTTATCGGGCTGTTCTTTCTGGCCGCCTGTGCTTAGGGCTTCAAAGATGTGTTTTGCGTTTTGCTCTTTGAATGTTGCCTGTTTGTCTTTGTGTTAACTCTCATAACATATTTGGGTAAGAGGGGAGGGGAGGGGAATTATACCTGTTCGTGAGCATCACTAGCTACAATCGTCAATCTAGGCACAACATCGTACTTCGTCCCCGATTCCCTCAGCTTCGGCACAAGCAATAATGCCATTAGGAATGTTGAAATCACATTAACAGCAACGGTACTCTCGTACCCCTCCACCAGCTCAAACGTTGGCACCGCAATCCCCGCATTCTCCACCACAACATCCAATCTCTCCAACTCCCCCGCTCTCTTACAGAACGCCGTCACGCTTTCAAAAGAAGTGAGATCGACTTCCCATACCTCAATCACCAAATCTTCTTCCGTGCGCTTTGTAGAAGCTAGGATCGAGGCTTTAGCTGCCAGGCCTTTGGAGAGGGACCGGCACCCGATTATTATCTTCTTGGCGTCTAGACGCGCGAAGTGGCGTGCGGCTTCTAGACCGAGTCCAACATTCGCGCCTGTTATGAGAATGGTTTGCCCCGTGAAGGGGGTGCTGGGGACTGGGAGCGTGGTGAAGAGTTGGGATTTTAGAAAGGAGGATAGGAAGCCTGCTGGTCTGACGCGGGGTTAGGACGGACTGCTTTGGGAGGCGGGGGGACTTACAGGTTGAACATTGCCATGTCGGATATGTCGATTTGATTTTTTGTATTTGATGCCAAATTTCTGTTGGTTAGTGATGGGAGATGAGAAGTAGCAATTGAGGTTGGAGACGCCTTTCAAGTCTTGAACGAGAGTTCTTGTGAAACCAAGGTGATACCCTCGTGTATGAAACAAAGCATCTGCCTAGTGACGTCGACATCCTACCTCTTTTTTTTTTTAGCTGTATTTATTCATCAGCACAGCTTCATCATGGGGTTCTCTATTTCAATTCGTACTTGTGTTTGTACGATGTTGTTGTTGCTACGACGTCTAGTCTCGTCTGATGTCGGGAAGCCTCGGTCCCGTCCCGAAATCTCGGGACCGTATAAAACCCGAAATGCTACTTGCTGCCTCCAACAGCAACAACAACTAGCTAACACTTCGGGCATCTTCATCCAAACCCAAATTCTACGAGTCAGCTAAAGTGGCACAGTTTATGTATATAACGAAGTAGGTCTCCCCCAAATTTGAAGTCATTTCATTAGAAGTTCAACTGCTTCCTCCAATTTCTACTTTCACAACATATTGCACTCATCTCATCTCATCTTATCTCATCAAACCACACATCACACATCACAATGCCAACCCCCAAAATCGCCATAATAGGCGCTGGCCCTTCCGGCCTTACCCTAGCATCTCTCCTCCATAAATCACCCTCATTCCCCACCCCCAACATCACCATCTTCGACCTGCGGCCTCGCCCCACCGCAAGCAGCCTCTCCACCCCCTCCGGCTCCCTAGACCTACACGCTTCATCCGGGCAACTAGCCCTCGCAAAATGCGGGCTTCTTGAACAGTTCAAATCCCTGGCTTCGGAATGCAGCGAAGAGATGATCATATCTGATGCGGGGGGAGTGGTGCGGTATCACGATCAGGGACATGGAGGCGATAGACCCGAGATTTCGAGGAATGCTCTTACGGAGTTACTATTATCGAGTGTACCCGAGGAGGTTATTAAATGGGAGACGAAAGTTCTCTCCGTTGTTCGTTCTGCTTCATCTTCGGGCAAGAAATGGAATATCACGTCGTCGTCGTCTCGGAAAATAAACTCCACCTCCAGTACAGAAGCGTCAGCAGAAGAGGCAGAAGCAGAAATGCACGAGTTTGATCTAGTAATAGGAGCAGACGGCGCATGGTCCAAATCCCGCGCCTCTCTCCCAGGCACCACAACCCCATTCTACAGCGGCGTCTCAGCCATAACCCTCACCGTCACAAACCTCAGCACGCACGCCCCCCTAAATAGCCTCCTCGGCCAGGGCACCTTCTGGGCCTGCGCACCGCGCCGAACCCTCATAGCACAGCACGGCTCCCACGACTCAGCGCGCATCTACCTCATGCTAGCCTCGCCCTCAGAAACCTATCTACAGGACAAGGGACTCACAGGTCTTACGGGCGCGGAGCTAGCAACCAAACTCCTTGATCATGAATCGCCAAAAGCAGAACCAGAACCAGAATCAAAACCAGAATTAGAAGTAGAATTTTTGTTCCAAAACTTCAGCAAAAACATCAAGGACCTCATAACAACAGCCTGCTTTTCCGAGCCCAGCATCATAGACGCAAAACCCCTCTACATGCTCCCTCCCTCCAACACGTGGACCCACACACCTGGCCTAACGCTCATCGGCGACGCAGCACATCTCATGACGCCGTTTGCAGGCGAGGGCGTGAATTGCGCTATGCTCGATGCGTTGGAACTGTCTAAAGCCATCATTTCCACTTCCACTTCCATATCTACTTCCACTTCTACCTCTACTTCCACTTCCACTTCCACTGCTAGTAATCAAATCACAGATGATTTAGACAAGGCGATACAGGTCTTTGAAATCAGGATGTGGAGACGGAGTAGGGGGATCGCGGAAGATACGTATAGGAATCTGAAGATGATTTTTGAGGATGAGAAGGTGCCTGAGGGGATTGTGAAGGATTTTGAAAGTCATGGTGGGGTGGTTGACATGGTGACTATGGGGTTTGGCTTTTTGAGGGGAAAGATTAATGAAGTTTTGGGGTATGATTGATGTTTTAAGGAAGTGGTGGGCGTCTGGTGACGGATTGGTATTGAGATTGGGATTGGGATCAATTGATGATATTATGTTAGGTGCAAAGTACACAAGATACCCCAATTTACGAATACCGATTTATTAATCCTAATAAAATCATGCTTTTACAAGGGTTGATTTGAAATGCAGCAAAACCAATATACACCGAGTTCCCAAGCCAGTCTTGCATGATTTCCGATAAAATGATTCCATCAAAGTGCTTCCAAACCCTTATTCCTGTCCTATAATTCTCTTCTCACGCAGTCGGATCTTTCCTCATAAGAATCTCCATCGGCATCTCATGTTCGTTCTTACTCAAACTTTTATGCACCGTCATCCTCGATACGGATAGCACCCTCGTTGCTAAGTCCGTTACTCCACCATCCATCAATACTCTCAGAGCGGTTGGTAGCATGAGCAAAGATAAGCCAGAAACCAAAGACAGGTTTAGCCAGAACATCAAGCACAGCGTAAGCAATAATCTCAGCATCAACGCCCCACGTGCGGGATCCGTCACCAATACCCCAAACAATAGGATACAACGTCCAGAGAACAAGCGTAAAGCCACCAATGGCAGCAAACAACGTGCCGGTCTTGTTATCCTTGGCAGAAACAGCACGACGGCCACCAACAACAAGCTGCCAGACGATAACAAGGTACGCAATGCATGCCATGGCATAGTATCCCCACTTCTGCCCACCGGTGGTGCCAAAGGCCGCGAAGAGACCAGTGAGCACCATGACGAGGTCAGCGACGATAGCGATGATGATACTGGCGCCGTCCAAGCCAGCGAGGAATGCAAGATCCAGGAGGAGGAGAGGGGTGGTCAAGCTCCAGTCGACATAGCGGGCCCAGAAGACTTGGCGGTAGACATACTCGTAGGTGTCAGGGGTGTATTTGTGGGATGTCTTGATGACAGTCTCAGCGAAGGAGTTGCCGTCACCGGTGGCCATGGCGAAGTAGGAAATGGTGGCGAAAAGGGTGATGAAGGTGGTGATGACGTGGAAAAGTCGCTTTTGCTGTTGAACGATTCGGTTAGTGACTGAGGGGGATGTTGTATACGTAGAGGTGGGTGGGGTTTGGGGGACTGGCACTTACAACTGGGACTGACCATGCCAAAAAGGTGAAGCCTAGAGTAGATAGAAGCATGAGGACGAAAACAACCTGGGCTGCGTGTTAGTATTGAGTCGAATGATCGAGGGCAGAAGGTCTTACCCAGAGAGTCTTTCCTCCAGCAGAACCAACTGTCTCGTAGATTGGCTCATTGGGAATGACTGTCGGGATTGGTGCGACGCTCGAAGTTGCTGAGCTGACCTTGGTCTTGAAAGCCTCGATGACTTGGGTGGGATCGATCATGTTTGCGGTATTTGGTTTGTTTGTTTGTTGTTTCTTTCTCTCTTGATTGTTTGGTGTCTTGGTCAAGAGTTGGAAGATGTATGTAAATGAGTTGGGTTGAGGAGAAGATGGGAGAAGAGAGATGTAGAAGAGGCAATGAGGTGAGGTGAGGGGTTCGTAGGTAGGCAACACTCGGTAAAGTAAGCAAGCAAAGTAAGTCATGACGCGGAGCTCACTCGTAGCTTCCAAGCTCAAGCTCCCCTCTCCTCTTCAATCCTACCTTCCTTTGCCAGGTGCTCAACCAATAACCAAGTCTCATGTCCCACACGGTGTTACAGACTGTGTTCTAGACCAATCAGAAGTGGCATTATATGATGCCAATTTTACCTAATGCTACATGTAACTGTGCCTTTGATGTGGGACAGACGGATGTTTAGGAGACAACGTCATGTCAATAATGGAATATCAGGTGGAGTGCAGTGCAGTGCAGTGCACAGGTTTCAATGCATCATAACATACTTGTAAGCGTACTAGAATTAGAATTACAATCCATCATCAATGAATCAAGATAGACATGCAAATGAGATAGAATTTACAACAGAAGTTTAGGTTCAGGTAGGAAGTTGTTGATGTGGCGTGGCGTGGCGTGGCGTGGAGTGGCGTCGAAATGTAACAGGGATTAAATGCCAAGGTTTCAGCCATCGGAAAGTCAAGATTCCCATGCCACATGTTCCCCGCATTCCTGATCTCTACCTCTGCCCACCAGCTGACCAGATATTCGGATGGTAAGATTACATAACTCTATAAGGGATGGAAGCGCAGATTCGTATTCGAACAGATTATCATCTGCTACGTGTTTTCCCTCCCTATTATCTTTTTTCATCTCGTTCGGCTTTTCAACGTCTTCTAAAGATGCTTTTTATGCCTGTTCAAGAAGCGGAAATTACCTGTCCAGGATCGGATGTCCTGTCTACTACTCCGTACAACGAGTACACATACACATACACATACACACACATACAGAGGTTGCAGAATATGCTTTGACTCGGAGGAGCTCATCCAATAGCATTAACAGCTTCCTAGCTGCGTAGATCAACAAGTTTGTACGGCAGCCAGCATGTAATAAGTAAATCCAGTGTTAGCTGAAAAGAGTGAGATATGTCACTGGACCGTCTTCAACTCCGGGGTCACGGGCATGGGCCCCGGGTTGGTCAAGCCCAAAGTTCTATCTCTAGAAATGCAAGAGACAATATTTGCAATCACGAACCAGGCCATGCCACCTCATATTTTGCTGCTATTAACCAAATAACGGCGGTGCATGGATTCTATCCCATGGAATATAGACATTGGCAGCTTTGCAAGCTTCAACTACCTCACCAGCGCCTTCCTCGCCTTCTAGATTGAATTTACCCTACGCACGCTCGCGAAATTGTACAAACGGACCATCCTTCCAACTCGTAAACGAGTCCTTCAACTGATATTCCTCTGTTCTCTGCCTCCCCCACTCAGAATCCGGGCTTCCTTCTCCAATTCTTACACCCTCAGCTGATTTCATGTCATACATAAACACCGCTCTCGCCAAACTCTCAGACAACTCGGTATACGCCAACCCTTTCCCAATACATCCTCTAGGACCAACACTGAAGGGACAAAATGCCGATTGCGCAACTGCGACAGTTTTCTCGGTTACTTCAGAAGAGGAAGCGGCGATCCAACGCTCAGGGTTGAATAGGAATGGTGCGGGGAAATATGCTGGGTTGTGGTGAAGTGTGTAGTGGGGTGTTCCGACTACAGCGCCTTGGGGAACATGCACGCCGTCGATATCAATTCCACCCGCCAGGACTTCGCGGGGAAGCATCCCGCCGACGGGTGGCGAGAGACGCATTCCCTCGTCGAGGACAGCTCGAAGGTATATGCATGAGTTGAGCGCAGGTCCTGACTTGATATCCTCCACTTCCGCAAACGTCGACCGGATCTCATGGGTCAATTTCTCAAGAGTTCGGGGATTGTGAGGGAGATAGAAGAATGCAGAAGCTAGTGCTGTAGATGTTGTGTCTGAGCCAGCGATAATCAAGAGGTTACTCTCGCCCCATAGTTCTTGTGGCGAGAACCCCTTTCCAGTCTCTGGATCCCGTGCGTTCAGAAGGTAGTAGAAGAAGTCTTTCCTGTCCGTCTCAAGTCCAATCTTGCTTCTCTCGCCCGCTTGGGCTTTGCTATATGCCATATACTGCATTCTCATGTTATAGATCTTCCTGAAGAGGACTTTATTCAGACCCAGGGTTTTGATCATAGGATTTGTGCCCAACTTCTCCTGTCAGCTCCAGCAAATAGTTTCAGGGTAGACTTTCTTACAATCAAATGCATATGCGCCGCATTCCCAATCAGATCAATAACATGATGATTCTCCTCATGCTCGAGCATCTCAAACGCCTTCCCGAAACACAAGTCCCCCATGACATCGAAGGTCAGGTAATTACACCAATCCGCCATATTCTGTGGCACACTCCAACCTTTCTCCCCTTTCGTCTCTCCAAGACGAGAACAGAATGTCCTCACGTTTCCCAAAATATACTTCTCCATACTCTTAACCGCGCCATCGGAAAAGGCATGACTTAGCACCCTTCTCTTGCGCGCGTGACTAGCTTTATCAATACTACTGTGCGTGTTGTAGGTATCTTTCGTAGGCGGAAATACGGAATAGAACTGGGATTTCTGGACGTTTGCTCGATGGCCGTATATTGTTTTTAGGGCGGTGTTTGAGTTAAAGGAGAGACTATTTGGGCCGAAACGGACGACGGGACCGTAGGTCTCGTGACAGCGCCAGAACTCGAGATGCCGGTCACCCTTCCAGGCATGGTAGACAGAATGCCAATCTGTTATTTTGGCAAGCAAGGGTCCTGGGTATTTAGAGAGGGGATGGAAGTAGAGGCGGTAGATTGTTAGGAGGATCAACTGTGGGTTGTTAGAAAGCTTTGGAAGGCCAAGGAGATAGAATGCGGTTTCTTAACACTTACATATCCTGAAAATACCGCGAGAGTGCAAGCAAAGAGGGAAAATAAGAGGGCTGTGAGGCCATTTTCCTTACTCGACAAGAACATTTTGAAGTTCTTTTGACAAAAAGCACCTGAGAAGGAATGTAGTACTTGGATTGGACTTATTTTACAAATCACAAGCTGACTATCAACAAAGCCTGAAATTTCCTTGAACGGAAGGAACACGTATGACAAGAAGTAGAAATAACAAAGAACTGTCAGTTTCCAACATGACCTTAAGTACGGTCGGTACACTTATCGTGCTTATGGGGATGTATTATATTGTATGCCGACGCAAGCCGTATGCGTGTTGATAACAAAGCCAACCCCACACTGGACTTTGCGTCATAGCCAATAGACGAAGAGATATAGTGAGATGCGGAGTACGCGGGGTAAGATTCCGCAAAGGCGGAAAATCGGATGAAATACGAAGTATAAAGAAGGTTACCGGTCGTGGACTAGTATCTAATATGGTGTAAGGTAGTCGGCCGACTAACAAGCCGGATCCGGGATCTTTGCCGAGTCATGTGACTGGATAGCCTCTGACATGTGGCTCTGGCCTATTCTGGTTACAAGCCGCTTTTGTTGCATGTCGCACTTTGCAGGTCCATGTCTCGTAGGAGAGTCGATCCGGCTTGAATTAGCCGTCAGGTTATGATGTCTGTGCATATAACACACTGAATTGGAGTAAAGTCTCAACCGCCAGTAAGATCTATATTGAAGTATTTTACATGACACTGTTTAAGCCTACATTCTAGCTATTGGATATAACTAACTCTTTGCATGTATAATATCTGGTTTCGTGTTTCGCTTTTAGACATTATAGTGCTTACTAAGAGAAAGCCGTCGTCGGTAGGGTAACTTTAGCTTCTCGGAGTGTCCAGATAAGGCACCCTACCTATGAAACGCTCAACGTATATAGTTTTAATTACACATAATCCAAGTTCAATACGTATAAATATTATGAATGCAAGTGCGTCAAAAAGGTGGTAACTGTCTTCTCTTACGACTCATACATACTCGGTATATATTTACATTCCACAGTCCCGATAGTCGACATTTCTAAAATTAGAATACGCAGTATACGGGCGTAGCGCAGTCACGGGCCAAACCTAAACACAGCGACACTCAGTTTCATTTAAAGAAAACAACAACACAACACAACAATACCACCTCACCAACCTCACCAAGCTCACATCACATCTCCAACTATGGACCGGAGTCACAACATCAGTGATTATCCAGAAGCCGCGGCCGTCAGTCACACGCCCCAAGAACAGGACCTCGGAGCCGCGCCCCGTCAATATGCGCCCTACCAACCCGCCCCATCGGCCCCAGACCCCTTCGACGCCTCAATCCCCGAACACCTAGATTCGACTCACCAGTTCCACCACCAGTATGATCACTCGCGAGACTTCCCACCACCGCCGACGACGATGCAACCCGAACCGTTTAGGAAGAGTAAATGGAAGGACAAGTCGTCCTCGCTGCTGAACAAGAAATTGAGTAAGAAATGGCAGCGGAGACTTTACTGGTTTGTCACGTGCCTCTATTTAAGTAACCCTCCTCTCTGACACGATATGGCGTATAGGATGGTGCCTCTTGGTATCCTGACCGTTGTGTTCTCTGTGTTATTTGAGGTTTATAAAAAGGATTTCGAGCGCTGGGTTAAACCGCTGACGGACTGGCTCCGGGACAGGGAGGCGTGGTCCTGGACACTGCCTACACTTATTTTGGTGATTCTTAGTTTTCCGCCGTTGTTTGGGCATGAGATTGTGCAGCTTATTGTTGGTGTAAGTTCTGAGTTAGGAGTCAAGTTTGGATTGATGAACTGATGGCGCTGATAGCTGACGTATCCGCTTGGCGTTGCTATCGGGATTGCGTGTGCGGGTGCTGTTCTTGGAGAAGCGGCATGTTTGTGAGTCTCTAGCCTGTTCATGCAGAGTTCATGGCGAGAGGAACTAACTTTGCGCCAGTGTTGCCTTCAAGTATTTGTTCACCGAGTACGTTCACAAGAAAATCGACCAACAAGTCAAGTGGGCAGCCATTGCTAGAGTCACCCAGGAAGCTGGATTTCGTGGTGTGTTGGTAATCCGATACAGCATTGTTCCCCCACGTAAGTATTGTTATTTCCACAGCTGCCTGTGTGAGCGACGACTGACAACGTATCTATTTACAGATCTTGCGAATCCTCTATTTTCATGCACAGGCATGAAATTTTGGGTCTACATGGCTACCGTGTTCCTTTCCCTCCCTAAATCCATGGTCTTCGTAGCACTCGGATCACCCAGCTCCGAGGGCTCGAAAGCCGCGAAATGGGGAAAGGTAGTTGCGATAGGTATCGTAGTGATAATCAGCGGCAAGTCACCTTTTCTCGCAATGCCATCCATCATTGTGTGTGATATCTTACTAATGTCTGTACGTCTCTGCAGTATTCGCCAGCTGGTGGATCCGCAAGAAGCTGATTGTTGCTACGAGGGAGATCAAAGCGGAGCGGGGAGTAACCGGCGGTGAAGACGAAGAGTACCAGATGTTGACTCCGCCTACACGTTCAGATGGAGATGAGACGTCATATCATGGTGTAGAAAGTACAGCGCCGAGTACTTATGAGGTGGCTGCGACGAGATAGACTAGGATGTGTAATGATAACGAGGTCACGGAGCAGCTTTGCATTCAGTTTGTGGGATATGGAATATACCCGGATTTTCAGCACGTAGCGATTTATTATTATGCACTTAGCACTGCTTATTATGGCACACACTAGACTTTTTCCTACTAAGGAATTTGAGAAACGTATTATAGCCTCTGGAAGCTAATTTCCTCTTCCGGGTCTTCTCCCTCCGCCTCCACTCTTTCCATTCATAGGTTTCCTTCTTGAAAGTATCTTCCCTTTTCTTTTCCTTGTCAACTACTCGCACGTCTCAGTATCGCTACATCACATGTATGGATGATAGTGCAAGGCACCTACCTACCTACCTACCTACCTACCTTTCTCGTTGCTTTCGAGGGCCAGGTCATATTCTTGCGTAATGCTATTCCTCCACTCATCGACATCAGCTTTTTTCAGCCCCTTGGCTTGTTTCTCTCCTCATTTTCCTCCACTTCTTCATTCCTTAACCTTCCCCTTCCCCTTACCCTCACCATCCCCTTTATGTTCGTCTTTTTCTTTGGCGGCCCCGACACGCATATCCTCACACGCCACCTCTTCCCACCTTTCCCACCAAATCTGCACTGGAAACAACGCCGCCACACCTGTAGAATGGGTTTAGACTCGCTATATACACCACTCCAGGCACTTCCTTATACGCTAGCATAGAGCGTGGTGTTTTCTTCGTCGCGGCGGCGGAAGTGCAGGTGGTGGGTGTGGAAAATAGGCAGGGTAGGCGTGTAGGGTTGGGGTTCGTATTCCCCTTCATCTGAAACCAGACAATCTTACTTAGTTTCCCTTGTACCTAGTAGCGTAATGAGAAGAGATGGAAGTTTGAGAATGGATAGGGTAAGTAAGTCGATAGGAGAGAAAGCGAAAGGAATACCATTACAGCCCATCCTAGCATGCCAATAAAAACCACCCTCTGCACTCCATTCCCAAGCCGACCATGGCTCCGGGTGTTGTGGGGATTTCGGGGTATTGAGTTTGATCTCGGCGGTGGAAAAGGGTTTTGATATCGAGGTTAAGCTTAAGCTTAGCTTTTTGGACTCTATTCTTGACATTTCTAGAACAGGACAGACACTTTGCAAGAGAAAATCTAGATCTGGACGCAACGTTGAAAAACGGAATGTTCGGAGTTATAGTGAACGCAATGGGGTGCGAGGGGACAAGCTGACATCACAGATATAACATAACAAATCCTTTTACCCCACAATGTTCATCGATTATGCAAATTTTTCCCAAACGGATCTCTGGGTGCTCAATTGGCCAATAGAGAATATAAAGGCTGCGCAGGGAAAGCTTAGTTGAAGCAGCTGCTTGCCACGCAGGACTACATACTGCTATGCTGCCCAACTTCTCCTCGCCGTTGAGCGTTAGAAAGCGTGTTTAGAGCGGAGTTTGTGACAAGGGTGAACAGTTTGCACGAGGTGGACAAGGCAGACAAGAAGTTTTTGAGAGTGAGGAGCTAATGAGATAAGGGGTATGTTTAATTCAGGAACATGATTTGGTCCGGGAGGGTCCAATACCTCGATTGCCTCAATGCGGTAGGACGGATTGAAGCAATACACGTAGCTTAGATCAATGGAAGTATCGCCTTATATGAGCACTGCCCAAAGCAGAAACCGCAGGTAGGTAAAGTAGTAATAGATAGCACAGGAGAAGAAGAAGAAAAGAAGTGGCGGCAATATCAATTCATCAGGCATTAGTCTATCGGGGTATTCGTATCAGTCAACTCTATCTTTACTTCGTGAGCGCATATTCTCTGGCTCAAGAGTAAGCGTCTTCTGCAAACTTTTGATTTCGACGACTCGCATATCCAGGCCGACGCGAAATTTCTTGCCTCGCCACATAACGGTCGTTCCACCTAGGCAGGCCCAAGACCAGATTGGAAGAGCGAGGAACTCGCGACCGAGCCATGCAGAGATCCATTCGCCGATCGATCTTCTCGACTGTCTACCAGGAGGCTTTGCGAAGGAGGGTGTGTCCTCGTCCAGCTCGATTGACGCACCGGAATGGAGTTTGGCATAGATTAAAGAATCCACGAGCATCCATGTCAATGCACTTGCTATCCAAGAGATAAAGAAAGCAACCCATGTTTGGGGGACTCCAAGTTTTTCGTGAAACCATGGTAAGGTTGTAAATGCAAAGGCTCCGTAGGCGGAACATAAAATGGGTTCAACTCCAGGCTCTACAAAAGTAGCTAGGGTGACGGTCCATTTTCTAACGCGGAGCCATCGAACTCTCCTTGCAATGTATTCCCGTACTGACATGCCTGCCATGGGCTGGATAGCTAAGTCGCCGAAGACCAGTCCATGCTTGTAGAATTTCGTTCCAGCCTTCTCCTCCTCGACCTTCTTTCGCCAAAGTAAATCTCCAATCAAGTGATCCTCGCATATATTTTCAGAGAAGAAGTCAATCCCGGGCGAGTAGGAAGAGGCTCCAGACGTCAAGTAGTCTAGATGCGACCGTCTGAACATATTCGACTTTCCCACGATGCAGGGAGCAATTGACACAGTGTTGATTGCTGTGTAGAATTTTGCGTGTGATGATGCCATGAACATTTCCTCCAGGCGTCCACCACCAATTCGGAGCACCGTGTCAAGATGCGACTCGTCTTTGGGCGGGGAGGATATATCGTATGCGGAGGAGCTAGTAGATGAGACTTCTTGGTCTTCTTCATGGCGGAGTAGACCTCTCGACTCTTCATCTACACTTGCGCCGACACTGTCCACAACAAGTGGCAGCTGATGGACAAACTTGTAAGGTATAGTTTTTGTCCCATCCGCCTTGTACCCGCAGAGCTTGTCCACCATCCGTCCAGCTACGCCTTTCCCAATCCAAACATTGCAGTCAATGACCCAGATGATATCTCCTTTAGCTTCCCTGTATCCTCTGCTCATGTTCCTGATCTTGGGATTAGGTCCCAAATTCGTTGTCTCTCCGCCATGGCCAGCTAGATTGGGATCTTCTTCCTCCACGAATATTTTGGCATCGAAGCGTGGGAAGTCTGCCAGCAGACGTTGTAACACGGGAAAGGCAGGATCGCTAGATGACGCTACACAGAAGTAGATTGTCAACTTCTCCAGAGGGTATACTTGTCGAAATGTAGCAGCGAGGCATTCGTAGAGCTGTGGCTCAAGTCCCTTAACAGGTCGAAGTATAGTAATAAGTGGGACATTTTCTATCGGCAAGGTGGGAGAGACGGCTGGCTTTGGCTTAGAGGAGTAGTATCGGTATCTAAGGAAGAGAGTATCAGCTTGAAGATGCTCCACGAAGTGGCATTTCGCGTATAAACATACAACTGGGCGGAACCAATTCCTTGGACTAGCACGATGAAGAAGTACCAAATACCACAGGCCAGGGCGATGCCAAAGATCCATGTCTCCATAACATTCCGTTCTGCGATTTTTACTGCTCGCACAGTAGCCGCAACAGATTTCAGAGAGTCGATTGTCATACGGATGTAGTTGGCTTGGTGTCTGCCACATTCGAGAAATCGTGAGAGAATATGAAAGGTTTTAAGTTGTCCCACCAAATCACGTGTGGTAGATAGAGCTCGTAAATTCAAAGCCTCAAGTTATGGGTCACTCAAGTATTAGAAACAGACATTATGACCTTTCCTATATGTTCACTTCTCGCAACTACTTCAGGTTGTGCTGGGCTGGAGGCTGGGTAAGCTCCCCTCTGCTCTTTCACTTAGTGCTCCAGGAAATTCCGGGACACCAAAAGGAAACAAGGCGGTTTTGTCGAATTATACAAAACAATCTTGGAAAACCAGGAACTGTTTATTCCCATAGGATTATGATTACTTTGTCTTCAGAGATATATTTGTATCAAGAGAAAGCCTCTACTTGGATGACTTTTGCATTGCCATTCATTCGCCCTGAAAAACATAGAACTAGACTAGCTGCAGCCCGCAGGTCGGTGCATGAGCGGCCGCGTCACATGCACACATCGGGATTTCCCGCAACAAATCTTTTTCTCGAGGCATAGAAAAGCAACTCCTTCCCTCATCAGACCATTCTTCTCGCAAACTTCTTTCAACACCTTTAGAAAAGATCCTGTTTAGCTGTAAGTATATCCCTATTTCTATTTCATGACATGGATAGAGGCTACGACAGCCCAGCTTGCGGTGATGACACCATTAGATGCTTAGGAGATTGACTCTGACTTTATGTCCTTCTTCAATGCTGGCTCAATTCTCTTCGAGAAGACTACAACGGTATCTGAGCATTGCTCAAAACATTCAGCTGTACAGAAGACGAGGAAAACAATAATCTGAACCTTGGTTGCTGACACCTGCGATACCTAGAAAGCTCGACATGACTCCACGGTAGTATTGCTCTCACCATGGCAGATACCGCGCCAACCGCGACCATTGACCTTTCGACTTCCCTAGCTGATGTAGCTGATGCGTCCCCAGCTCCATCGACAGATAGCGTAAAGACCTTGCCAAAGCCAAGATATAATGGCCCTTCTAAATTTCAGCAACTGAATAAATTATACGCTCTTCCAGCCCCGCTCCGAACCTTCCCACTCCCCACCTTTGTACCTCACAATCCTCTTTCCCTTTTCCACATCCTCTACGTATGGCTTCGGCAGACAGTCGGATCAGAGTCAACACATTTCGATCCACCATATGAAGGATGGTATTCTCCAGAAACCCGCTCCGTCCACGTCACAGATGCCCGGTCGATCCGAGGGCTGTGGGAGCAGGGATTTTATGGAAAAGGAAGTTTAAGTCGAAGTGAACCAAGTTGGATGACACGGGAGAAGACTCGACGAGGGATCAAGGAGAAAGCTACGAGTGAAGAGAACACGGCGAAACGGCGGCTGGAGCGGCAACAGGTCAAGTGGGAAAGGGCACGAAAGGAGAGGGAAGCTATTGATCAAAAACGATCAGAAGAAGCAGAAGCAGAATCAATTATTTGTGGTGAAGAGCCTCCTGATGAAGTATCATCGGTGGCAGAAGTGATCGAGACTGATCCTCTCCCAAACGGGCTTGAGAAGACGATCGGTAGCAACTCTTCAAACACAGATTTACTCAAAGAGAGTGTTACTGTAGTTTTGAATGGCTCTACCAAGCCCGCTCTAGCCCAAACCAAATATATTGTTTCTCCTGTTGGCCCTCTAGAGCTTCTGTCACTTCCCAATTCTTCGCTCGATTCGGGTATTGATTTGGAAGATACGAATGAAAGTCTCACAGAACCTCACATATCTCGTGGCAATGCTGTCTTGGGATTGATAGTGCAGCAGGAATTAACGCCCTCTGCACCTGTCGGTCCACTTGAACTCTTGGCCTTGCCAAATTCAGTCGCCCTGACTTTGCCACTGGAGACAATTGAAAGCAACAGTCACCTGGAAATCCCAGTATTCAACGAAAGAGTTGTAGACACTGTCGCGGTTGATCTAAAGACCAATGGCAATACATCGGGCTCTAAAGAGCTTCTACCCAATGGACCTGATGTCGTGGAGGAGTCTCTCTTCTCCTCAGATCCGTCCGAAACTAGCGACGACACAAACAATGGATCAAGCCAGTCAGACGAAACAGTCCATGGCAACACCACGCCCAATAGCTCTGCCCTCGCCAACCCTCTGCTCGGTAGAAAACGCGCAAAGAGCGTCCGGTTCTCCCCAACCGTGGAAAAGAACACCTTCCTCCAATCCGAACCACCCCATCCGGAACAAGGCCTACTAGCCGTCACCGTCTCAGAAGACCCATCATTCCCCGCCATCAAAAATCAAGAACACACCCAACTCACCCTCGAAGAAGCATTCTTCCTCTCCTACGCCCTCGGCGCCCTCACTATCCTCTCCCCAACCACCAAAGCCCCCATCCCAACACAAGATCTCTTCTACCTCTTCCGCGCATCCTCATACTTCCCACCACGGCCCAACCCAGCCTTAAGGCCCGATGATCCATTCATGATAAACTACGTCGTGTACCACCACTTCCGCTCCCTAGGCTGGGTACCACGGTCCGGCATAAAATTTTCCTGCGATCTCATGCTCTACAACCGCGGACCCGTCTTCGACCATGCGGAATTCGGCATAATTATTCTACCGAGTTATAGTGATGCGTATTGGCGGAGCGATGCCTCGCTCAAGGCTTACGTGGATGGGAAGGAGAGAAGGACGTGGCATTGGATGAATTGTATCAATCGAGTCATCACGCAGGTCAAGAAGACGCTTATTCTTGTCTATGTGGATATTCCGGCTCCATTGAATGTGGAGGAGGAGGAAGCGTTGGGTGTGCATGGGATATTGGGCCGGTATAAGATTAGAGAAGTGGTTTTGAAGCGCTTTTCGGCGAATAGGATGAGGGATTGAGGAAGGATATTTTGTATGATATACGTGTTTAGATATCCATGATGGAATTGGAAAGTCAATTCAGGAACTACTTTTATGTGCTTGTGTTTCTCTTCTTCCTTATATACCCTTGGATTGACTGTAGAAGCTCCACATACGGGAACTACTCATCGATAGGATGCTTTTGATTTTTCCTTCTCTGTCCATTTATCAGGATATTGGCCTTCAAACTTGACAAAGCCTAGACGTAAGGTAACTGAGAGTACAAGGTGCTCCGTAGCTACGCAGTTTAGCGTATAATTATAAAATCTAACGTAAATAATGCAGTTTTCAAGGTATCAAGATTCCGAGAAAGCTATGCTATTCCACCTAAATAGATAAAGAGTATTTATACGCAAAGCTTTAAGCAAGCTTATATAGTGGAGGACTTTTATTAGGCCAGCCGAAAGAAGTTCTCGGAGCCATAGTGCCCCATGCAGGCAGGCCACTACAGCTTCCGACAGCCTCTGAAACTATACATCTCCCATGCTAAACTGCTAGCGTTCCTTCACTATTCCCATTTACTAAGGTAGTAGTCCAGCTAAGCCATCTGAGTAATGGTGCCTCATTTCCATAGACAAATGGCGCTGCTGGTATAGATAGCTCTGCGACGCGAAGTGGCACTGTTTATTTCTCTGATTTGGATGGGGGTAGATAGAGTTGTGCGTTTTTGAATAGTACTAGTGGTGATTAAATTTTTCCTTGGGTAATATCATTATACCTAGGTGCACGGATTGTTGAGAACTGTGACAAGCCAGCACATACTCAAGAGGGTTTTAATAAAAGTAACAGCTACAGCTAATTCGACTCGCTAAACGCTATTCATAAAGTCATAAAGGAGCAACCGGTTTCCCATCCTCCCTTCCATCCAATAATGTCCATCCCATGTTCCCCGTCAACAATAAAATGTAGTAATTACAAGAATCCACCCAGAAGAAATGCACACTAAGTAGCCTCCACGCCCTCTTCAAACAACACCATCCCGTCTGGATTCTCGCCTGGACTCTCCAGCTCAGTTTCATCATGAGAACCATCTGCACTACCCGTCCACTCAGTCCCCTCATCAATCACACTTTCGCTCATTCCCGTGCCAGTAGTACCAGTCAAGATTGTCGTACCCCTACTACTACGTCTCATAGTCTCATCGTCGCTTCCTTCCCCACCATCACTATGATCGTCATCTTCCTCGCTCTCCTTAAGAGCAAGGTTCTCCTTGTTCAAATCGCCATATTTATTGTTCAAAGAGCCAGCCCAGCTAGATTTTCTGAAGGCTCCGGAGCCGCCAGCGGCTTTGACGCTATGGCTGCGCTTCATGCCTCCCGTGGGTACGTTGTGGGTGATTTGGTTGAGAGAGAGGATTCGTCTGCCGTTAGCTGCGCCAGCGGGATTTTTGATGGGAACGCTGACCATGGCGCGGTTGCCGTTCATTGCCATACTGACTGCGCTTTGTGTTGTGTATGAGGCTCGTGAAGTGGTGACTGAAGATACGGATCCGGTGGTTGAGGTGGCATGGCTGGGAACGCGCTTCCTGCTCATTGCATCTCGGCCTTTGTTGGACTTAGAGATGAGTACTGCACGAGAATGATCAATCACGCCTTCGAGAATGCGGCGTTCAAGTCCTTCGGCTCGTGCTTCCATCGCATGAAGTTCCTCCCGTCGTATCCGCAATGCAGTCTCAAGACTTGACACATCAGCTGAAAGGCGCATCTTTTGGTGTGCAAGATCGTCCTGCTCATTCTTGAGAACGATTACAGACTCCTTCAGGTGTTCCTCCTCTTCGCGAAGGCCAACTACAGTAGCCTCAACTAGTTCCTTCTGTGCAAGACGCTTCTCTAGTGTAATTGTAGCAGCCTCAACAGCCTTCTCCCTATCTTCATGATCATCAGCAATGCGCTGTGTCTGCGCCGATACGAATTCGGAAACTTCAGCTGCAGTTTGCAACACCTGTTGATGTATCTTGTCAAGCATATCTAGCTGAGCGAACGATTTTCCAGCAACATGCATGTGGTCAACGAGTTTATCTAGCTTCTCGTGAACAGGGCTATCGTCATACTTTTCCTGGACAGGAGGAGCCTCCTTGAGAAGAGGTGTTTCATCTTGTGGAGGAGGAATAGGTATCTCAGCAATCTTCTCCTGGATCTCTGTAGTAGATGTCTTAGAATGCTCATAGTGCTGACCAACAATGAGAAGAACGTCCTTGATGGATTCGAGAATCTTGGGGTGATATTCCTTGACATGACCATCCACTCCTTCAATGGCACTGGCAGTCTTGAAAACTTCGTCCCTGGTCAGTCGATGTTCTGTTTTGGTTTCGGCATGATTCTCCTCAATTCGAGTAAAAGTCTCTTCGACTTTGTGGAAAACAGTCTTCGAAGCTTCGTCCATCTTCTCAACTGAGTCGCCAAAACTACTGCCTAAAGTGTCTATGAGTAGTTTCAACTCTTCGGCTACTGCTTTTGTCCCTAATACAGCAGCTTCAGCCTCAGCGTTCTTCTCCTCGCCGAGCTTTGCCTTGGCTTCAGCCGCTAGTAGAGCATCGTCGTACTTTGTCATTAATTCGTTGAACCTTTCGTCGATCTTGGCTGTCAGGGTCTCCTGTGTCTCCTGGAACTTCTCATCTGCCTCAAGCTTGGTGCCGACAACCCCAGCATTCGACTTCTCAAATTCCTCCTTCATCATGTCAAACAAATTTTGGATATCATCTGATACGCCCGCGTTTTGTTCGATCGAGTCACCCATACCCTCAAGAAGTTTGCCTAAAGTCTCGACACTAGTGGATCCCTCGTCGAGCTTCTCCTTGATAGTATCTTTGAATTCTTCTAGAAAGCTTTTGATCTCCGTCACTCGCTCGCTAACTCCAACAGTCTCTGCCTGTCGTTCTTCGAAAGATTTTGCATTGGTTTCGGCGTGGGTCTCAATCCGGCCCTTGAACTCCTTGACCATCTCCCCAAGATTTTTGACATCATCTTTTGATGCTAGAGCGGCAACATCCGGCAAAAGCATTTGCTCAATGACAGTCTTGACATCTAGGCAAACTGCTTCGACCGCCTCGATATCGGTCTTGGTTACTTTTTCAACATCCTCCGACTCCTTCACTGCACGCTCCTTCATCTCTTCAAGGCCTGCAATCACATCGCGAACCAGAAGTTCGATGGTGTTGACCTCTTCCTTTTTAGAAACGTCTTCCAGGTGGATTTTAAGCTCATCGACGCCTTCTTTGGTTTCGTGAATAAGAACCCCAACAGCATCAAGGTGATCTTTCTTCACAGCTTGCTCTGGGTCCATCTCGTCTAGTTTGGCTTTGGTGTTTCGAAGAAGAGTCTCGATGGCCTCTATATCCTCCTTTTTAATACCAGATTCATCCACAGGCTGCTCCCGATTCAACATGTCTGCCACTGATTCTTGTACATTGGCTAGTTTCTCCTCGACGCTAATTATATCTTCTTTAGACAAGGATCCTGGCGCGGGCTCTGCAGCAGGCGGTGGCATAGATTCCATAGCTTCAACTTTCATTCTCAGCTGAGTGATCAAGACTTCCAGATTCTGAATGTCCTTTTGCTTCAAGCCTTCTGCGGCAACGATTGCCGTGTCGGTTATTTCTGCGATAGCTCGCTCGCCATTGCCGTTCTCTCGGAGACGGTCAATGTCGGCTCGTACTCCCTCTAGACCTTCCTTCAAGGCGTCCAAGATTTCGTAATTGACAGTCATGTCGATGGGCTTGTTGTTGATTTTCTCGACCTCAGCACGGAGCCCAGTTAAGCCATCTTGGAGTGCGTCGAGAATTTCCCCTGTACCGGAGAGAACGCTCTCATTGCTGTCGCGAGGTCTCTCAATATCCGCACGAAGATTGTCGAGACCTTCTCTTAAGACGTCTAATATCTCGTCTTTACTGTCGCGAGGTCTATCAATATTCGCATGCAGACTGTCGAGACCTTCTCTTAAGGCGTCCAATATCTCGTCTTTCTCTACGCTAGCTCCTCCACGAACAAGTGAGCCAGCCAGCGTCTCCCGAAGATGTTCCAATTCGCCTTGAACAGCTTCCATTGAGCTATCAGATTCTTTGGATAATAAAGATTCAATATCGGCACGGAGAGAAGTGAAGCTTTCTCGCATGCCGTCCAAGATCTCATCCTTGCCAGTCACATCGGCAGCTCGGTCGACATAACTCTCGATATCGGTGCGCAGCTTTTCAAGTCCGTCCTTCGTTGCATCCAGAACTTGCTCTGTGTCTCTTCCATGAGCCGAGACGTTTTGCTTCGACTCATCCGATACCGCTTTGAACTCTGTACGCATTGCTTCCATCACCTCTTCCAATCGCTCTATGATCTGTTCTCCGTGAGGACCCATCTGCAGAGGCGCATCTTCAAGGCCGGCTTTGACGGCAACGAACACATCATCGCGAGTCAACCCTTCACCAGCAACCTCTCGACTAAGAGCTGTCGTATTCGCCGCAAAGTCAAACTTATTAAGGCTCTCTGTGATAGCATTAAAGATGTCATCGCGCGTTAATCCCTCACCACCATCTCGACTCGCAGTTGCTGTATTTGCCGCGAAGTCGAACATATTGAGACTCTCTGTGATAGCATTAAACATGTCATCACGGGTTAAACTTTCGCTACGGATATCTCGACTGACAGTTGTCGTATTTGCTGTAAAGTCAAACTTATTAAGAGCCTCTGTGATAGCATCGAGCATGTCGTCGCGAGTCAAACTTTCACTGTTGATATCTCGACTCGCAGCTGCTGTATTTGCCGCGAAGTCGAACATATGAAGACCCTCTGTGACAGCATCAAGCATATCGTCACGAGTCACTTCGGGTTCTCGCGGCTCTGGTAGAGGAGCGGATGGGAATTCGAATTCTTCCAGGCATTCCCGCACTGCATCAAGAATCTCTTCGCGTGAGAGACTGGCTTCCGTCTCTACCTGTGGAGGGGAGAAATGCTTCAAGCCTTCGACAACAGCTTTGAAGACCTCTTCTCTACTAGCTCCTCCAATGTCTCGAGAAGTGTCTTGGGGAGCGTATTGCTGAATTCCTTCCTTCAAACAAGCCAGCAATTCGTCCCGTTCAAGTCCAAAATTTTGGATCTCGATATCTGGCTTGTAGTTTTCCCAAGCCTCTCTGACGGCCTCAACAATGTCTTCTTTGGCCAAGGCAGGTGTTGCGGAGTCACGATCCTTATCGTTGATTGCAGCGCGCATGGCCTGGTAGATTTCACCATAATCGACCGTATTTCGTGAAGCTACGGATGAGGAAGATTGGCGACGATTTTCCTGCATGATGCGGTCCATGTGTTGCTCCAACTCCTTTAATCCTTCTTGAATGATGTGAGTGACTTTTTCATTTTCGATAGTAGCGCCTTTTGCAGCAGAGAGGTTCTTAACATTGGCCTGGTCAGACGCTTTTCGGGCTTCGTCCAATTGGCGGCAAATCTCCCGACTCATGCCCATAACTTCTCCGCGAAGATCACGAACAAGAGCTTTCACTTCTGCGGTAAGGCCGCCTCCTTGTGCAACGCTATCTTTCACTGTACGGATGATCTTCAGAACATCTTCGTTGATTATTTCGGAAGCTCGTGCCGATTTAGGACCTCTGTTCTCTTTATTTGCTCCTGGTCCAAGAAGAGCTTCGACTCGCTGGGTCATAGGTGCGGATCTTTGTTGGTCGAAATCCAATTCTAATGGAGGCGACTCTCCGAAGCTGAAGTTTCGAGGCCTAGAATTTCCAGCGCCCCCGCCGTGATGTGTCACCAGTTCTTGCGAGGTGCTGTTTTCTTTGATAAACTGTACCAAATCCTCGAGTTTTTTCGCAGTAGACATCCCTTCGCGAGTCAATCTGTCTGCAACTTCAGTCAGCCTACTCACGAGGTTATCCTGCCCATCCTTGGTTCCCATCTCGCGGAGGATCTTCTCGAGTAGCGCAATACTAACGACTGGGCCATCGGCATTGAACGAAGAGGGGCTGGTGATCGAGTCTCTATCAAGGGATGCTGAGAAGCTTGTTGGGCTAGGAAATCGTGGAAGACTTATTTTCCCTCTAGATCCGGGAGAATTGTGCGCCTTGTTGTCTAGATACAGTGCAGCGTTCGGTCCATAAATCGAGCTTGTATTTCTTGAGCCAGACTCGCTCAGATTGTTGGCAAGATCTCTTAGACTCTTCCGAATGTCCTCGTCACGCGCATTTGTGGCTTCCTTCAGACTGACTAGATCTGTGGCATTATCCTTGCTTCTTCGACTAAGTTGAGCCATCTCTCGTTGTAAACCTGTAGCAATACTGGTAAGGCTCAAGATCTGTGTTGAAATCGCGTCGAACGTTTGCGGGGAGCGAACCAGCGCATTTGATCCGTTTGTGACATTTGATAGTGGAGCATCCACATCTCTACTTGCCATATGTTGTAATGCCAACATCGTAGCCGACTGTGGAGGCGTATTTTCGCCGAGAATGCTCTGTGGTGGTCTTCTCAAGGAAGGTCTCAAAGTTGGTATATCCCTAATTGGTACTTCGCAAGCTGGAGTAGGTGTTGAAGATCTACTCCCTTCCTTCTCTGGTGATTTTTCGGGCGATTTCTCGGGCGACCTCTCTAGAGATCTCCCTTCTGAAAAGAAGTCCTTGTTGGTATGTGGAGTCGTTGGCCGGTTTGTACTCTTTTCTGGTGATGGCGTAGGCGAGCCAAATGTAGAGCCTGCTTCTATGAAGCTACTCAAGTCTCGCACGTTTCCCGTTTGTAGTGACTGCATACGTTTATGAGCAGCTCCCTTAATCAGAGAGCGTTCTGGTGATCCCTCAAGTCGTTTCGGTGGGGGATTTGTGATATAATTGCTTTCCCGAGCCTTCTCCGTGAGCGCAGCGTGTGCAGATTTTATAGCGGATGAAGTATTAGGTCGTGATGCAACGCTCGGCGAGGAGGGGTTCATAGGTAATGGAGGAGGTGCGCGATCAGGATCAGAGCTGTCCCACCTGGAAAGTCAAGGATTAGCATGTTGCGCTGCGAAGGCGTAGAAATACTCACATGGGAATAATTGCTCGGGCACCATCTGACGAAGCTGAATGCTGGTGTTTCAAAAGTCTCTCGCTATCGCGCGAGTTATCACGTTCTGTGGAAGGCATGGTGGTGAAGATACAGTTGGTGTGGAATGCGGAATGGAATGTTGTGTCTGGTACAGTGGGCCAGGTGCTTGCAACCATGAGAGAAGACCTCAAGCTATGAGGCTGAGGAAGGTTGAAATCATGCAAAACGATGCTGTTCAAGGGTTGAGATATCCTGGGATATGGGCTTCAGAAAATCATTCTCTGTAGGTACCTATAAGTATTGTTTACTTTGGGACCTAAGTAAACAACACAACGCCAACACTACGGCCAAGCCACTAACGTTTGCTCCGATTTTAGCGCACCGGATGCCTGGACGGACCGAAATGTGAGCCCCGCCCGCCCCGCCCCGCTCCTTTAGATCCTTCTCCTCTCTTGCCATCCATCTTCTCTCCTTGCAATACATTGAATTGAAAGTGTCTAATTCTATATAAATTCATTGTTTTTGTTTAACTGATAGGTAACTTTTGATAATTGGTCTCTTGGAAACGATTTTGAATAATCATTACCCAGTTCAGGTTAGAATTGTACATTTCAACAGAGTTCCGTTTTTCTTGATCCTCGAGTTCATCAAGCGCCGTAGTCAAGTGTCATTTCATGGCAAGCAGTCACTTTCCTTACTCGTATTTACAGTATCAATAAGGTCGACTTTTCAAACGAAGTTTTAATCCTAAAGAAGAGCGGTCAAGTGTTGCGAGAGGGCAGCGGGGTCTGCTGTGGCATCCCGCACGCAGTACAGAACAAATTTCAGACGAATGCAATTCTTCACTAGCAGTTGGTTACACCAGACGAGGCTATGGGACATTGCATGATGTCCAATGGCACCAAAAAATTGCTGACAAGTACGCCTCATTTTGCAAAGAGGCTTGCATCACCCCGCGCAATGTATTTGTTCTGGCTATCGTGCAGTGCCCACGCCCCCAATAATGTACATGAAGCATGTGAGAACGTATTTACCCGTTATAAACGCAACACCGGCAGTCTTGCCACTGGTGGATATACTCTGAGATCCAGTGATGCGGCGACACGTCAGGCATCTCAATCGGTAGCCGTCTCGATGCTTCGAGATTGTGTTACTGGACAAACAGTGAGCAGGGGGTTCGGTGGTGTGAAAGAGGCACCAACTGTAGGGTATGTACCGTCACTAATGTTGATCTTGTTGCCGGGGTCCATCTGAAGTGCCTCAGTGCTTTGTATAATGATGAAGAACAATGTTCAATATTTGGCCTACTTAACCGACCAACCCGCCAACAACTCCCTCATTTTCATCCGAAATCTGCACAATCTCAGAAAAGGTTAGATTTACTGATTTTTCTTTCGTGAGCTGAATGTCAACCCCTAATCATACCTTCTCCATTGACAAGAATCGCGAGCTCTCACCACATGAGGCACGGATAGGATCAATCAAGAAGCGGCTGGTAAATACTTTTGGGAACAAGAATAGCCTTAAGAGGAAGGGCCTTTCAACAGCATTACAAGTAACTAAGCCTTTGATTTACTTCTGTCGAATCGAAGTATACCACAGTGTGATGACGGACATTGCGGCTGATGTGTTATGCTACAAAATAGGAATATTTACCAGACATGGGTCCCAGAAACAACCGTCAACGAACTGAAGCCAATGGAGGTTGGGAGGGTAGCGAAGCGGATGAATCCCACAATGGCAGCGGCCAACAAGATGGTGCAGGGGATCATCTCAGCAACAATGGTCATGCAAGTACCAACACCAACGGCAGAAGATCTCGCCCAAGCCAGGGCAGCTCACCGCATCATGAACATCAAAGTGGTCTTGGCCCATGGACTCAAGCAGTCAGTGAGACGGTTCAAACTATGGATGCGCTTCAACGAGCGATCAGAGCCCTTCAACATCAGTTTACGTTGCATAAGAATAATCTTGACACGATGGATGAGACCAGAAATAGGCTCAATCAGTTAGAGCAAGAATGCATAGATAAAGATGAAGATATTCGCAATAAGGGAATCACGATTACCATCTTGAAGAGCATGGACCAGGAGGCAAATACTGATATTGAGCGCAAACAGGCAGAGATTGCGCGAGAAAGAGAGTTACTAGATCAAGATATCGCAAAGCAAAAGAAAAGAGCTTCGCTTGCAGCGGAAGAAGAAAAGCGAAAGCTAGAAGATGAATTGAAGACGCGTTCGGCACAACTGGAAAAAATTATGAAGAATCGCACGAAGGAGCTAGAAGATGGGTTCAAAAAGCAGGCTGCTGAGAACAACAAGAGAGTGACTAGTCTCGAGAGTGAGAGGGAGCAGCTCGGGAAGACCGTGGAAGATTCAAAGAGAGCCATGGAATTACAGATGAGAGAGTTGAAGAAGGTTACGGAGCAATGCGAAGTGCTAGAGATAGCCAAGAATACCTTCAAAAAAGAAAAGAAGACTGTTGAGAAAGAGTTAGAAATGATGAAGAAGGAATTTTCCTTGAACTCCAAGTCGGTGGATTACTTGTAAGTACTTCATCCCTGATCACAGCACATCAGGAGAATGTAACATCATACTAACAAAGATCAGCCAGCAGGGGTTCGAGGACATTCGTGGTCGCATTGAAAAAATATCTTGGAAATACTTCAATGATCTCGAGGGAAAGGTACCCTTTACTTTTCTCTGATTTCGGCCAGCTTTTGTACTGACACACGATCAGGACCTAGAGAAGGTGCATAAAAATTTGGTTAAAGCAGATGGCGTCTTTGCATCGGTCCCGATCGATGACTCCGAAGACTCCCGCAAACTCCGCGCTGCACATGCTCAGCATATCATTTCAAGTGCAATGTGCGAATACATCTGGCAACCTTTCCGCTCGGAGCTCACCCTGTCTCAGCCGACGTTGAGTGATCTCCTCGGTAAAATATCAGATGAACTCGACGTTTCCGGTTACGGTGGACGAGCAGCACATGTTTGGAAAGCTCTAACAATGCGAGCTCTTCAGTCACTACCCAGAAGCACTCTCACGGGGAGTCTGGGGCCCAAGGAGTCCAATTGCTCCGTTCCACCCAGCAGGACTGAAAGTGTTGTCTCCAGACTTCTCTCCGTCCTCTCTCCACTTGTCAATTCGTCTGAAGTTGAGAGTCTTCGAAAAGATGTCCGTGAACTTTCTGATTCGGCCATTGAACTTTGGAATGATACCCAGACTGGCCAATTGGAGGTTCAGGTAAACTCGTTGTTGGAACATACGCACCGAGAAGAGTGGCGATCTAAGGAGTTTGATCCGGCATCTCCAAATAACGAAGAACCAAAATTGGACGTGGTCTCTAAAACCCACCCTCGGACCTTCACTCTATTCCCTGAGATTATAGCCCTAGAAGTGGTTGATCCAGTAGTTAACGACACCGACCTACCCGGAAGCTGGCCGAAAGAGTCTGAGCAGATCCCTCGTATGGCAAAGACACGCATCTATCCTGGGAAAGGACTACCTGAGAGTTCACCACTGGTAATCCGAGGAAAAGAGGCGCAGAAGGAAAAGGATGAGTATATGCAAGAAGCTGTTAAGAACTTGAAGAAACAGTTTTACAGTAAAGAGAGTAATAGGAGAGACTCGATGGCGAGTAACATGTCCGGACCGTCGAGTCCGAGTGAGCGGTGGAGAAAGGAGGGGGCCATGAAGTTTCAAGAGAAGTAGGATATTTTTATGTTTTAAAGTGGTAGGTATCTTCTTTTAGCGCTTCGCAGCTGCGTTGTGTTTCGTTCTGTCGTTTGAAGAATTTGATCTCGGTCCTATTGATGGTGTTGATGGTGAACTTGTGGAAATTGTTGGATTGGCCTTGATGTCCTAGCGCTCAAGAGTTCTCGCTAAAGCGCCTCTGGAGGTGGAGAAAAACTTTAATCAAGCAAACTCCGGAAGTAATCGCGTGTTGATTCAAATAGCTGCGAACCTCTGGAATATGTGGTCACGTGCTTACTACGCGACGTATCTGGCATTAAAACAGGATAGATTTCCCCAAAACCAAAATTTGGATGGCATCAGTCTGACCCAAGATATTGCTATACTAAACGCTCGGAAGCCTCGGCCTTAGTGGCAGAATGAAAGATGAAGTAAGGGCGATGAAGAAGGTTCGATCACGGTATCTGTTCGCAGTCAAATACTATACATTTACTTTGAGCAAGTATTGATTCCTTCGGTCTAATCTCTATCCTCATCTCCCGATTCATTCATGAACAGAGGGCGGGATATTCATGACCTCCTAACACTTTACTTCTTCTACCTTGGTATACTTGATATCCAACAGCACTTACAATTGCACCATGTCCGACATCAAGGTGGTAAGTCCGACAAGAATGGATTTGAAAAGCACAATTACGCATCTTGCATCAGTCTAAAAGACCATTGTTCAACATGTATTGAAATTGAGTAGTCGCAGCACAGAATGAAATGCTGGTAGAGAGAGATATAAATTTGATTGAAGTAATATATTTCTTATACACAAAAAGGCAGGGCTTCATTGATGCCCAGCTGAAAGCCTTCGACGTCCATGTGAGCAACATGATCCAGCACCTCTCGGTCATTGGAGAGTATCAAGGAAATATGAGTGCCTCCATTCATCCCCTGAGCTTCACTTGAAAGGTTGGGGAACGGACCGAGGGCAACCGACATCATGTTGTAAAATTCAAGCCTCTGATCGCAAGTCAAGTATGCCCAGCCAATGGCAAGCTTCAGATCATGCCATAAGAACTTCCGAGGCTGTCGGTGTCAAAACATGAGCATCTGAAATGACGGAAATGTTACCAGTTAAAACAATGTGAGCCAATTAGCCAAGGTGAAATGCTGTTTCGTTGGTGCGAATCTCGAAAAGCCGGATCAGACTAAGTAAATATCTGTCAAGTTAGAACCATAAGGTTAAGCCTCAAGCATGTTTAGCAGCGAGGGTGATGATAGCCTTCAAGCCTAGTTTTGTGATCAAAATAATACTTGATAGAAAGATATTTGTGAGAGAGAGAATCGATGTTGAGAGTCGTTGTTGGTACGTACCGAAAAGTGCTGGAATCACGTGTTTCCACTAGGCCAATCTAGGATTAGACCGCCGCACACTGGATTCTTCAGAATTTCCACTCCCCAATTTTCGTGGAGAGCAACACCACGACGAAAAACCAACAACTCCGACAGTCGCCATGAAGTGTAAGTATAGGACGCTTCCAAATCAGTTTACAATTGATCAGCAGTACTGACCCCATTATTCACAGTCCTCAAGGTCGGCCGTGTTGCCATCATCACCAGGGGCAGATATGCCGGAAAGAAGGTAAATACTCACCACCCACGATCGCGCACCCGAACATATAAGATTTAAGACACCGAGCTGGGCGCAAGGAGATGGATATGGGAATTGCTTAAAGACAGCGCTGATGGAGAAATTGCAGGTCGTGATCATTCAACCCCAAGACACCGGCAACAAGAGCCACCCATACCCTCACGCATTGGTCGCCGGTATCGAGCGCTACCCATCGCAAATCACCCGCCGCATGTCAAAAGCCCGTCAAGCCAAGCGCAGCAAGGTTAAGCCGTTCATCAAGGTCATCAACTACAACCATCTGATGCCCACACGTTACACCTTGGAGTTGGAGGGATTGAAGGGAGTTGTGACTGCCGATACTTTCAAGGAGGTTTCCCAGCGAGAGGATGCGAAGAAGACCGTCAAGAAGGCTTTGGAGGAGAGATACACGTCCGGAAAGAACAGATGGTTCTTCACTCCTCTCCGTAAGTTTTTCGGAGTTCTGGAATTAGGGTTTCTAGGCAAACGCTAACTTTTTTTAGGATTTTGAAAGGTTCTTCTGTCTTCCTGGGTTGGGATGGGGTGTCATGGCTTTAGTCGCATAGTCGCATAACGAGCTAAAGGAATGCTACATTTGACCACTGGAATTATGCTACGACTTTCTAGAACACGAATTTATACTGTGAATGTGATCTACGATTGTTAACGAAATGCCCAACGGATGTGCCGAAGATGGTCGCGTGGGAGGACAAGTTTGCATTCTAGACGATGACGAATTTTGGATGTCGAAAGAGATCCTAGAGACTCTGGTGCCAAGTGGACCTCTAGCAGAGCTAACTACCCAGTCGTCTACCCCTAATTTTATACATTGTTTCATTTGCTTCTGCCTCTACTCCTAAAAATGCATTACGAAATTTGTTCTGGGCCCAGGTCTTGATGTGTAACCCACCTTGAGATACCTTTGTCAAAGATATTGCGCTACGCCTTAGATAACTGTTGCATCTCCTATCCTTACCACTGCGCTTCCTCTAGCGTGTATGAGAGAGCTGTTATTGATATGTAGGGTCTAAATCTATGTAGCTATTCGACCATTTACGTGCGTTGGAATAAAGGATGCCCAATGGGTTTAGAGGTGGGCGAGGAGGTATAGATGCAGAGAGAGTCATGCAGATGTCTCTCAGGGGAAAAAATCCGACTCCTTTACCACCCTACGTTCAGGTGCGTTGCCTCTTTGAACCTTGACCCCTGCTTTAGAACACACTCCCACAAGCTCCCTTATCATCTACATGCGCTTTTGATTGAATCGTCAACACATGACCTATAGAGACTAGGGACGCATCCTCTCACAATTCTCCTGTCCGCTTTGGTTGATTATTTCCTTATTTCAGTCCAAGCTACATTCTCCGCTACATATTTCAACAACCATTTCATGCCATACAAAAAGGCTCAAGAATCAACATCTCCAATGCTCCGAAATCCAGCTGCTAAAGCCCCGTCAAATTGCAATAAAAAACCAGTATTAGCTCAATAATGACAATCTGGAAATGGCATTGCTCCCACGTCTAACTGAACCGATAGCCGGAAAATGGACAGCCTTCTGCTTTTTAACCCCCCCCCCCCTTCCCCGGCCCCCATTATGACAGCGCTGGG